ATCTCGGGCGCAGTTGCGACGAGCTTCGACGATTGTTATGAACCACGGATAATGAAGTCTCTTGTTACAGATTGTACGTAACTTTCATTCTGAGAATAATTTATGTACTTTTTTACATTCTGATGTAAATGGGCTGTTATAAAAAATTAAATTGAGAAATAAAGTCAAAATTTCTAGTACAATATACGTAACCGCGTAAATCAGAAGGCATTAATTATTAGCTGCAAAAATAGTTCACATGGTGGTAGGAATACGTCCTGCATCACCACTATTGTATTATGACAGAAGATATCATTGAAATATTAACGAGAGCTGTGAAACAGTTTTAACTCCATCGCATAAACAAAGCCAAACATTTTCATATTTCAACATTTAAGAACTTAAAGGGTCAATTATAAATTTTTACTATGTCCGGGACAGACTGCTTTTTAGGGGATTTTGTATTTGATCTGATGAAGGTACAAAAACACAGTAGAGAGCTGTTGATGACTTTAAAAAAAACTTCCACGCAGTTCACACACGCTAGAACTAAAGACTTCAGAAATAATAACTAGTAATCTCTGTTATTCTCTCACATCTTAAATATAGATGTTTGGCTCTTTATAGTATCGCTTTTTGACTGGAATTTTCGTTTTATCGATTTTAAAATTATAACGGTGCTAAGGAAGTGTTTTTAAAAAAAAAACACGTGTGGCACTCGGAGACTGCCGCGGTAAAGCTATTGCATAGCATTTTTTATCAACTTATGCAATTATAAATCGACAATAATAATTTAATATTAAAACAACAATAAAATAAGACCACGCTATTTATAAACATTAACAGAAGCAAAACATTAACTGTCCCCTTCACACTCATAACCTAGACCGCGCGAGGGAGAGATGGGCAGACTTTTCATGATGTGCTGCGGCAGTGCGACGTCACGCCGCGCGCTTGTTCACAAACACTACACAAGCGCAACGTTTGAATGTGTTGAACGCGAGCTACATAGTAGGCGTAGTGGGGGTGTCAGGTTATTTTCGTTACGGAATTTTTTGATTCAGTCGCCGCGCTCAAGGCCCGCGATAGAAGCTATGCAATAGCTTAAAAAGCTTCCACTTTTCTGTATTACGGATATCTCGGATATGCATACGAGACAAGAAAACATCGGAACATCGATTTTTTCAGACTCCGAAGAACTGAGAATCGAAACAGGATCTCGTATGTAACAGTCAGGGTTACAATAAAAATGTGAAATCTCAATGAATTTTGCATTTTTTGAGAAACATTGCTAATGGTCCTGAGAAATCGATAGCTTCTCCAAGACAGGTGGACGAGCCCGTAACTCGATGAAAATACTGAAGCTTAAAAAAAATCGTTACAAATTCGAGTTCAACGAGTATTCTCGTTTGTAATGGAAATTAATCTAAACACAAACTAATTTACATTTTACATATTAAAGCGTTAAAAATAGCATTGTAAAAATTTACAATTTATGACGCTTGCTATTAAATTTCGTGTATAAATTAGCGAGACTCGTAAAACGATAACGGTTAACCTATCACGTAGACGGCGAGTGGCTGACGGTAGTCGGACGGTAATATTATTAGACATTTGGACACTGGCGGCCGTGTGTCTGCCGACATGTTCATACTGATAGGTAACTTCAAGGAACCGTGTAAGAATGTTATTAAAATCTACAAAAAAAAACATTATCTTTTGTTATTATTTAACAAAATATATGTTTACTGACGGCTGATTTTTCAATCGTCCGATAAAATTTATCCATTAAGCTAATTATACTCGTAACACTACCAATTATGAAAGCGAAAGTGAAAATATTGGTAATTGTATTATAGTTGTTGTATTTTATACGATTTTCGCGTTGTTTCTCAAACTTAATCAATGTTACTCCCAAGCTTTTTGAGTGTATAACATTACTAGTGTAATTCTGTTATGGGAGTACGGTGAGCCCGCGTGAATAGATGTCACTGTCTGAATATTTATACCGCGAAGTAAACGAATAGGATTAGGAGATAGCACTTCCATCAAGTTCTGTTTAAAGGAGATCGTCGCGTTCATGCCATCATATCTGTGCGTCATATTCGCTTGCAAAGCCAAAGAAAGACAGACGATTTCGTTTCTTATCATAAATTCGTTTTATCATTATTCAATGTGCACATAACTTTAGCTTTAATCTGTGGCAAGTACAATAATGCGTTTATACTATTTTACAGCGCTCACTACTATTACGACTTCCGTGTATTAGGAAAAACTTTATTTATAATTTCCTGTTACAATTGTAGAAATGGTTGCGAATGCATTCGACATGCATGAATTTTATTCAAATGTATGTATAGTGCGGAACACGCGAGCCAGTTGTAGTTGCAGCAGCAATTTGATATTTTTTCACTGCTAGACCAGATTATGGTAGCATAATGTTTAGATGTTACCGGAAGACATAGACATAGACATTTCATCTTGAGACACGACGTCGGAAATTTCATTTAATTTATAATGACATCTGCGACATCATATTTCAAGATAGGCTGTATAGTCATCAGATCAGGAACACAAATACGAGGAGCGCGTTTAAAAAAAAAAAAGCTACTGAGGCGTGATTTAAACTGGTTTTACGGTTTTATCTCGCATTTATTATTGTCATTATATTATTTCCAAAGCTTTGAATACTTTACAGCTTTCGTAGTCACGGATGACTTTTTTTCCCCACTTATTCGTTTTTTTTTTTTTTTTTTTTNATTGAAAGTTTACTGGTGGCCCGAAGGCCTTTCCAGTTTCACCAGGACAGGTGGGCGAGCAAAGGCTCAGCCAAGAGGGGTGGGATTTGCTAACAACTGCCCGAGCGCCTCCGAAGGAGACCTAACAACTCAAGAGCAATTGTTTCGCGAATGAATCTACTACCGGATCGGAATCGCGACCCGCTGAGAAGATCCGGCGAGAAACTCAGCGGGCTGATGCATGGGTTAGGTTGCACGTCGACCTCTTTGTCGAGTTCGACGAGTACGGTTACCGGGGAGTACGGTTACCGGGGAGACCTATTCGCTGGTAACTCAAGAGGCTATTCCAGCTACGCGCGGACGGATAAGTGAGACACTGACTCAACCTGAGAGAATTTGCTAACACTGGCCCTTACAAGAGCAGTGTTTCGCTGAATCTACCACCGGATCGTAATTGCGATCCATTGATAATATCCAGCGAGAAACTCAATGGGCTCAGTGGGCTATTAATTAGTTGACATTTGGATATTGTGCTAACTACCCTCTATCTTGCTATAAAAATATTATTTAAATTTCATTATAAAGTATTCCGCGTGTACTCATCGCCGCGTTAGCAACGAAATAAAAATTAACATTAAATTCGAATCTTAAAAAGTATAAAACAATAAATCTTCATACGGCTATTGCCGTTGTTGCACGCCGAACACAGAAAACTAACCTATTTCAACATTTTACAGCGTTATAAATTTACATGAGGTCATTCGGTGTTTTAATGTCGTGTCCAAAACCACACCATCGGATTTCGAACATGAGAAGTTTGAATTATGAAAGGGTCTTCGGGTGTACCGAGCTACGAATGTCAAGTACGTGTTGTTAAGGTTTATAGCGGGCTCCGCGGAAACATCATAAAACCGACCTCAAAGTCAGATTCGTATGGATAACGATTAAAGGGCACCTTGTTAACATTAACTGTTCTATAATTGCCCCCTCATATTAATTATTGTTTTATATTGGCACATGACTTATGTCGTTAGAAATACCCCAGGCTATAAACTAGTGTTTTGAACTCGGACCGTTGCGATCCAAGGCTAGATTAATTACATTGTTGTATATTAAAAATGGGCCGGCCTTCTGAACTTCATTAAGAAAGTACCTACGACTGAGTCGATTCCGTGGTTAAATGGCGAACCAAGCGCGGTAATTACTTAAATTGCCTAGCCGATAAATCAAATGATTGATCTTAGTTCCTGTAAATTTGATAGTACCGTAAAAGCGAAATTGAGATTTGCCCTTATGAATATTGCGGCATCAGTATAATGTACTAAATATATAATTTACTACTACTTTAGTTTAGTACTTCACTTAATGACTTTTCTTATCCTTATTCGTAGTTGGGCGTGTCGTAAACGCGCAGCTGTGGGTACGTACCACCATCATTCCATTTCTGATGTGAAGCAGTCATGCGTTCGATTTGAAAGGTGGGATTAATCACTATAAAATATTTTTGACGTTTCTACTCCATGTCTCAATATGGGTGGCGATATTGACGTTACTATTTCTTTGGGCTCGAATAACTTAGCATCAGCTAGGCAGCTCATCTTCCTATCTAGAACTATAATCTACTAGACCGCGATACATTTAGTGTACTAAAAAATGTTGTTCAAATTGGCTTATAATTTTACTCCATGCCGTGTTTCAATTCAATTCATTTTTATTTCCTACAAAATGTTTAGTATTTTCTTTGGTTTTCGCGAATCGCAAACATAACATTAAAACTATTTTTAGGATTTTATCTCGGGTTAATTGTTTTTTATTTTATTATTTCCGTCGTTTCGAATACATCGCTTTTTTTGTGGTTATTTTGAACCTTGGTTTTCGATTTAAATTCTTTCAAAAAAAAAGTACTTCAAACACTAATAATAAAAGTAATTACTGAAAACAAAATTGAAATCTGATATGAAACATTGGCGTTGCGGGAAAGAGATAGATAGAGCGAGCTCAGTACTCAGCATGTATGTATTTTAAATGTTTATATTTCGGTTGTCGGCAGGCCTCACAACCTGCCGGCTTTGCTGTATGGCTCCTCGCGCTCTGGGAGAAATTGTCCGAGGTGGTCTCCGGAGTGATCCGTGAGATCGCCTCGGGAGCCAGCCCTTTCGGGGCTCTCTTGTCGGGGTTCTACCGAATGATTGCGCAGTTCAATGGCTAGCCAGGAACTGCGCATCATTTATTGGAACCCCGGCGGGGTAAAAACCCGCAAGAACGATCTCTTGGTNACATTTAGCAGGAGTGATGCTTTCGACCGTGGCCAATAAACCTGATGGCACTTTTGACCTGCAAGAGCTGGAGGAACGAATTAGGGGCTCGAATATACATGAACCAGTAACGGCTATGGTTGCCGTCGAAAATACCCATAATTACTGCGGAGGAAAGGTATGAAGAACCGTTTGTATCATGAGTTTCTCTCATACAATTATAGAGTACCCATGCATCAGCTCGCTGAGTTTCTCGCCGGATTTTCTCAGTGGGTCGTGATTCCTATCCGGTAGTAGATCCATTCGCGAAGCAATTGCTCTTGAGTTGTTAGGTCTCCTTCGGAGGCGCTCGGGCAATTGTTAGCAAATCCCACCCCTCCTGGCTGAGCCTTTGCTCGCCAACCTATCCTGATGAAGCTGGAAAGGCCTCCGGGCCACCAGTAATCTTTCAATCATTAAAAAAAACAATTATAGATTACAACTGTGCATGTACCATTATTTGGTTCTACTAGTTTATAATTATGTAACACCAGAATGAATTTACGATATTGTAATAGGTCTTGTAAAATATCAATTAGATTGAAAAACAATTAGATTGTGAGCTCGATCTACTTAGAATAAATATGTGGTACGGCACCAAAAGGTTATCTAACGCTTATAAATAAATAAACATAAAAATAAGAGAAAGTAAACCGCGAATTACCTTACAAACTTTGATCATTACCAATCGAATAATCTAAGTTCGTTGTCCTCTACTTGTCTCATTGTTGTCTTGCGTGGTTAGGCGTGAAACCGGGTGGCGCCGCGAGTCTGGTTGTAGTGTTGACCGCGGGAACCCCTCGTACTCTGACCGGGTTCTCACCCCGGGCGGAGGGAGATCGGACGTCGGGTGTGCAGTGGAGTCGTTTAGTGTGTTAGGGCCCTAAAATTCCTTGAGCCCGCGGTCTGCTCCCAACATCTACAGATCGTCAAGTCCCACATACCCCGTGCCCCCTAGGCGCGGAGACGTCGTAGGAGGTTCGGCCCCCAGCCCGAAAAAAAGAGAAGTTTGAGTATGTTTTATTTTTTTATTGTTTATGTGGTTGGACGAGCTCACGGCCCACCTGATGTTAAATGGTGACCGGAGCCAATAGACATCTAGAACGTAAATGCCGCCACCCACTTTGAGATATGAGTTCTAAGGTCTCAGTTTTAACAGTACAACGGCCACCCCACCCTTCAAACCGAAACGCAAACCGGCGCGCAACGGCAGAAATAGGCAGGCTGGTGGTACCTAACCGTGCGGACTCTCAAGACGTCCTACCACCAGTAATACAGAAGGCTACATCGACTTGCAGGTCCTGCCTTTGAAATTTCTTGACGACGTCGGGGCCTTGTGCAAGAAACACTCTCTGGCGCTGCACATGGACGGCGCGAGGCTGTTCAACGCGTGTGCGCACGCGCAGGAGGAGGCGGCGCGCGTGGTGCGGGACTGCGACTCCGTGTCCGTCTGCTTCAGCAAGGGACTGTCGGCCCCCGTCGGCTCCGCGCTCGTGGGGTCCTACCATTTCATCGAGCAGTAAGTTATAATGTAGCTACTTGGATTCACGCGGCATGCGTCTCGATTGATTCTATTGACTGATTCTGACTTGACTAAAAATCTGTTCAGAAGTTATAGGCGCTTTAATTTGATGTTAGATAGAGAGAGCACTATTTTTTTTATTGCTTAGATTAGTGGAAGATTTTAACTAGTTAGCGATGCTACATCACAAGGTAAAACCCCTACATTTTGAAATTTAAACTTTATCTACATCGGGATAAGGGTAATCTTATTAATGATAACTTTTATTTATTTATTTATTTCTTCGATGGGTGGACGAGCTCACAGCCCACCTGGTGTTAAGTGGTAACTGGAGCCCATAGATATCTACAACGTAATTGCGCCACCCACCTTGAGATATAAGTTCTAAGGTCTTAAGAATAGTTACAACGGCTGCCCCATCCTTCCAACCGAAACGCATTACTGCTTCACTGCAGAAATAGGCAGGGTGGTGGTACCTACTTGCGCGGACTCTCAAGACGTCCTACCACCAGTAAGCTACTTCTACTCACGCGGCATGCGTCTTGCGACTAATTCTGACTTGGCTAAAAATCTGTGTGCCTAGTGCGAGTTTCTTAACGTTTTCGGTAGCGTAAAAGTTAAGCCAATTTTTTATGCAGTTGGAACAGCGCCCCTAGCGGCAAACGTACGCAAACGAACCCATTCCATACAAATATAAGCTAACTTTTACGCTATCGAGAACGTGAAAAAACTCGTAACTAAGCCCACTGTTCAGAAGTTGTAAGCGCTTTAGTTTGATGTTAGACAGAGAGAGCGCTATTTTGTATAGTGACGTCACTATCAAGGGCAATATACATACATACAACCAAACAAAACGTTATGAAGATACATAAAACTCTACATTAATCGCTCGTTTATTCGACTGGTCGAATAGTTTACAGTGGACGTGGTCACGAACGATATGATACGTACGATGTTAATAAGACGTGTAGTCGAAATTATATTTTTGTATCGTGTAACGAGTTTTGGAAGTGAAACTTCTATAGAATCGCTGTGATTTCAAACTCGATGAAACGAAAAAATAAGTCCATAGAGACACAAACACATAAACGTATAGGATTCAGCCGGCGAGAGAATGAGATAGAACACATTAGACGTTCTCGGTCTCCTCTTTGTGCGACTCTTCGTAGCATCCCCACTATCCTCTACTAAACATTGTCCATATGTATGCTCCTGTATTTATAAGTTTCACTTCTACCGTGTGTGACTTGCACACACACACACACACACACTTTTTTTTATTGTTTGGCACTTGATGGTGAGTTGTTATCGTCGCCCGTGGATTTCAGCAATGCTAGGGGTAGAGTCAAGCCGCTGCTTGCTGCTAAATGACTCAGACCAGTGGTAACGGCTGGTCGTGCTCTGTGAGGCTCGAGCTGTAGTGTGGTCCCGCGCAGGGCCCGGCGCGCGCGCAAGATGCTGGGCGGCGGCATGCGGCAGGCCGGCGTGCTGGCGGCCGCGGCGCTGGTCGCGCTGCATGAGGTGGTGCCGCTGCTCGCCCTGGACCACAAGCGCGCCCAGGTGCTGGCCAAGGGTGCGTTTATACGTCCATACTTTAAGGTCGACCATCTTTATTTTTGGTGGATTTATGGGTGGACGAACTTACGAGCTATATATAAAGGTGGGTGTCGGCATTTACGTTGTAAATGTCTATGGGCTCCAGTAACTACTTAACACCAAGAGGGTTGTGAGCTCGTTCACCCATCTAAGAGAAGAAAAAAAATTGCCTTTACTTTTTGGTTCACTGAAAAAAACCCAATAAATCTCCTTCAGTAATATTAACTTAAGAAATTCTAAGAATAAAGCAACTTCAGTTTGTACTAATAGCAAATATTTCATAAATCCTTTTCAGTTTAATCGAAAACAACATTAAAGTAGGTAATAACTGGAATCGTATCCTCAGTTATCGAGGGTCTGTTCCTGAAGGCGTTCACCGTGGACGCGCACAACACGCACACGAATATCGTGCTCGTGCGCATCAGTGAGCACGCGCCGCTGACGGCCGACCAGCTCGTGCAGAGGCTGGCACAGGTCTGCCTCGCTGAAACCCAGGTCGAGAACACTTTTGATACTTGCATAGACATATATCTGTGTGCTTAGTGAGAGTTTTTTTAACGTTCTCGATCGCGTAAAAGTTAACACATTTTTATGCAGTTGGAACAGCGCCCCTAGCGGCAAACGTAGGCAAACTTGCCAACTCCATACAAATCTGTGTTAATTTTGACGTAAACTTTCAATGAAATAAAATGAGTATGTCATCTATGTAGTCAAAGTCAATTAAATTGCGCATTATTAGGGATAACTCAAAAACTACTGAGCAGAACTTGATAAGCTTGGGTCCATAAGAGAGGTACTAAAATAAAATTATCAAAATCAATTTTCCTAGAAAGAATTTGTGAGGTAACACAATAAGTAGTCGAATGGAGAACCTCCAATTTCTTTTGAAGTTAGTCAACAAATACATCTCAACGCCGAATTTCATTGTTAAGAATTACAAGTGTAATGAGGAAGCATCTTTAATATTTCATATAGTATTTAATCTCTTAATACATACAGATTCGAATTATGTAGTTCAATTAAATTGTTGCCATTACTGAAATCATTCTACACTTGCACACTCATACATCATAGATGGTATGCTGCATTCTTTCCGAAGAATAAGTTTTTCAGTCAGTCAGTACGTTTGCTATTGCATTACAGAAGTCATGATAGTGTTGCCAGTAAACAATTTCTAAAATTTAAGGGAGACTGCAAGACTCCGAACGACGAAGGCGTGATCGTAAAAGCTACGGAGTTTAACTCGAAGACTATTCGATTCACTCTGCACCGCGAAATAACAGACGAAGACCTCTGGCTGGCCATCATGAAGATAACTTACGTTTTCAAAGAACTCAGTTCTAATTTAGAGAACAAATAAATAGGGTTGATGTTAAAATTAAAAAAACAACGGAACATTAGTGTTGCCATCTTTCAAACTGAAAAAAATTGCATTCGAAATATTAATTTTTTTTAACAAAAAAAAATCCTTCTTAGAACGTCTCTCTCTTGAAGTCACGTCGTGCCTTCTTATTTTCTCGGTCAAAATGTATTTTTTTTTATAAATAACGTTGGCTGTTAAAATGAATATTATTATAGTAAGCACTGAGTAATAAGCAATAAATATTTTTACTTTATTTAATAACATAAAAAATATAATAAGGCATCTATTTACCTACCATATACATGTGTATGTTAAATACGCAAGGCCGACCAAATATTTTAGATTATAGTATGTAATTACAATTTACAATTAAGCAGGGTATTTTAAAATGACATTTTAATTGTTAAGTTTATAGTGTTTATATGTTCTATGTGTTGGTAAAATTTTCAATTATAATTATTATACGTAAGTCGACGAACATTGTTAAGCATTTATAAATGTCGTGTTGTTAATCGTTATGTAATTGTTATTTTAACAATAAAATGCATTTTTGAGGGATTAAACAATTTATTGCTTTTATTTATATTTATACGAATAAATTCAAAGTTGAGATATCACACCTTTGGAATTGAAGTGGCTTAGTCCAAAATTTTTATTTTATAGTAAAAATAATTGTAATTTTTCAATTTGGATTTTAATACTTTAAGCCTTAAAGCGCATTCCTTAAAGTTTAAAGTATGCGCTTGATTTAAAAGAGACGGAAAGAGTACTTTGTCCTTTTCTAGATTAAAATTGAAATTTAATTTTTATATAAATTTTTATCTAGACTAACATTGAAATTTAATTTTCTTTTTTTACAAATTGATTGAAAACATTTTTGTAAGTCTTATAAAGTATAAAACTAATTTTCTTAAGAATTTTAGTTAAGCCAATTCAATTTTTAAATTATATTACAATTATTAAATTATATTAAATACAAAGTTCTTGTTCCGGATCTGTAATTATAAAATCTTGTATGAATTAGGTCCCGATCAGAGCCCACATTGCGGTATTAAATGATGCTTCACTACTGCATGGATCGTCCATGATGTTAGCAGGAGGCCGCGATGCTACCTATAAGGTTGGACGATCTTAACTTTTCCTTCTTAAATTCTTATTATTTCTATGGAGAACGCAGATCTATACCACCATTCCTAGGATGAGATTCCTTCAAATAATTTATCTAAAATTGTAGTCCACACATCCCAAGAAAAGGACAATTCAAAGGTTATTTAAGGTGACGCTTCCAGCAAAAAACTCAGACTCATCCTTCTGTTCCCTACTAAATATTTTGGTAAACTAAAAATGATGACTTTATTTATCACTAATATATTAATTATCACTCGTCAAACTTGAGACTCTTTATTTTTAATAACTAATTAAAATATATGTTTTATTAAAACAAAGTTATTCGAAATTTATAACAAGACCACTAAATAAAAATAATAATTTTACTCTTTGTTTAATTAATCAAATGAATTTGATAGTTCTACTCTGTCAAATTCACCACAGAAATAATGAGCTTACATAATATTATGTAACTTATGTATTATGTATGTAGGTGGCTACAAAGTAAACGCAGTGCGTAGATAAAATACCATAAATACCTGAATCGCGCTATCGATATTTGCAGGACAAGTTCCCAAACGACAGCATTCGGACCGTCTCTCGCTCGATAGAAATATCACCCTTGTCTTTATTCCCAAAAAGTTTATAATTGAATAAAAACCCTGATAAATAAAATTCTATCTTTAAAATCACTGAGCTGTTAACACTGGTCGGTGTTTCCGTTCGTCTAGTTTGTTAGCTACATAATTAATCTACCTAACATTAATCTAAGAGTATTCGAACTAGAATAGAAGTTATAAAGATCAACAACATGTTTTGGGTCCAGCCTATGGCCGCGGCGTAACGTCGTGTTCCGAGAACACATAATATTAGTTAAACATAGACACATAATCAACTCATACGCTGTTATAATTATAAACAGCCTTATGAACTGATATCAAATGGAATAAAAACGAAATGTCTCTAAAGACGTATCGCATCGTTTTGTTGTCCGGGCCGCGAGCGACTAAACGCGCGACTCATACGATAATTTCGTTCTTAATCACAACGCGTTTTGTTCATTCCACACTCTAATCAATTCGTCGTGATTAGAATATCCGTGCGAGGCGATCACATCGCTGTAATCCTCTCTCTCATACGGCTTCTTGTAGAAGTGGAAATGCGGACAGTGAGTCGGCACTATGCCCATCTTCTTCGCGACTATGCCGAGGTAGATGTCATCGAATCTGAAATGCTTCACGAACAAGCTTCCGACGTAGAGCATCTTCATCGCTTTGTTTGACACCACGTACGCCCCGGCCGTCACGTAAGGCGGCCACTTGTCCCAGGGATACTCCTCCAAGGACACCCGCCACTTGCTCGACCGGAACCGTTGCGGCGCCGACTTGAAGACGTAACCGGCGAACAGTATTCCGTCTCTTTCGCTCGCGGTCGTCACTTCGCTAACGTATTTTCGTAAATTCTGTACCGATATGTACATGTCGTCGTCGGTGAATAAGTAGTGTTGAGCTTCGGCGCAGTGCTGAAAGATCCAGCGAAAGGACATGACCGTTTTAATGGTGTTGTTGAAATAACTGTCACGGAAAGACATCTGTATGATATCTTTGAATTCTGTCATTTCCTTCGTAATATTCTTCTGTACATCTGAACTGGCATTGTCCAGGCCCAAAAAGAAGAATGTCTTCACGTTGTAGCCCTGGACATGTGGTTTTCCATAAGTCTTTCTAATTGCATCTCTGTGTCCGAAATGGTCTATAGCCGACTTGACTATTATGACTAAATCCGGTTTGTTGACGACACTGCATTGACGATAGTTGCTCAAGAACTTGTACGGGTAGTAATTTATAGGTTTAACATTCGGCTTTTGCCCTTCCAGTATTGCTTGGACTATCGGTCGAATGTCTACGTTGAGAGGATAATTGAAATCGTTATCGAAGTTCTTGGACTGCACGTAATCGCCGACACCAAAAAAATGGTAAACATATACAAGCACCAAAGCGAATACAATCAATTTATATCGGTTCTTCCTCATTATCAGTCTTTTTAACGTACACTGAGATTCGCGATATTTCACAATCTGAAACAAAATTGCTATTATGATATTTCTAATCAGCATGTTTGTTTTGATCTATGATTAATTGTGTATGTTGTGGTGACACATTTCCTTGGAATATTTCCCTGATAATATACATAGGTACAGACTAATAAACAAATAGACAGAAAAGTGAAGAAACTTGAGCAGTTACTGAATCAGTGTGCTACTACAATGTTTTCCCAGGCGTCTGGGTGCCAATTGAAATGCCGCTAGGTACTGTAAACAATTTACTGGATTTCCGTATTTTTCCGTGTTTTATCTTAATTAAAACCACTTTTACAGTTTAATAGCTCATTTATTGGTTTTACTTTTTACTATTTCCGACATTCCGAATATATGCTTTAGTTAGTTTTTATATAAAATTTGACGGTAGTTAGCACAAAATTTAAATATCGACGATTAACACCCCGGTCGTCCGTGACCACAGAAACTGTAAGGTATTAGAAACGTCTGAAATTATAAAGTTAAAACAATAAAATAAAATAAAATAGTTTCTATTCTCTTTTAGTTGATGCTTTAGGAGCGGTCTCTCGCCAGCATCATCAAAGTGCGACATGTAGCGTTGGTGTACCGAAATCACTGGTCTTAATGGATGCATTTCATGTTATTATGTACACGAATTGTTAGGATAAGAAATTTTCTCTAATTATGCCTAGTAGAGTGGTTTTTGGGTTGGTCTGGAGCGGTCTAGAGTTGCACTAGACTTTAGAATGGACGGCCTTTATTCACATTCTAATTAAGAGTTTCGTGTTGATAATCTGTTAACTGATAAATAACCATGTAATACTGGAATTGATATTGCATTTGCATCGATAATGTGTATATTTAATATATTTACCTTAAAAAAGGTAGAGGTAAGGAGCCAGGTCCATGTGTATGAAAAAGTGTCAATCGAAAAGTGACCAATGTGGGTGGTGTCACTTTAGGAAATGGTTTAATTTCAAAAAAAGCACCATAAGTTTTATTAAATATTTACCGCACATTTCATTGCATTTACAACTGCTTTCATATCAACACTTGCTACACTAGCACTATTTTGAGCTGTAATTTTCTGTAGACAGCTGAACTTATCAACCTGTCTGCCGTAAAAGACAGTTCTCCTCACCTCTGCCCTCCATAATTTACTTGCTTTTACAGGATTTTTTATAAATGGTTGTTTATTGCAAATACAACAGATTTCGGTTTTTTTGAATTAACAAGTTTATTCATCACCACGATAACTTGTAGTGAGTCCCTATTGAATTGTATAACGGCTGTCACATCTTATAACCCAAAAGGACGATTACTTCCTAACAGAAATATACAGGATGATGTTACTCATACATCCAGATTTACATCCTACCAACCAGTAATTATTTTGTAATTTGCAAATTTGGTTTTTATTACACAATGTTGTTTCTTCATAGTGAATGTCATTGGTAAACAAGAGTACATGTTTTCTTGGAACAATTTGTACCGGCATGTAGGACTTGAGTCAGCAGAGTTGCATTGTTTAATACAAATACACATTCAATGTTTATGTTACATTAAATATGTGTGAGAAGCTTTAATATGGTAAACGGGAATGAATATTTATTTACCTGCTTTCTGGGACCTTTCCCTAACATCTAGTTAGGTTGATAATATCTGAAAGACAAATAAAAAACAATACAGTTCTACAAATATTTATTTGTTATTAAACATAATTAAATAGTATAAATTTTGGTTTGTAAAATAAATGCAAGTTTTGAGAATCTCAACACTCCACTAACAGTAGAAGAGTTCCAGGTCTTACCTAAAACAGATTTATATATATTTTTTTGGATTTGTTAAAAAAGGTATATATTAGATATTGATAAATGCTTTAATATTTTTTTATTTTTAGGTTTAAATGAACATGTTCACAATATTATCATTAAACAGGGTGTTAGTTACATATTAATACTGTAGTGTTTTGAAATCCATTGAATACACAGGTACCTGATGGTGAATGGATCCCAATAAAAGTTATTTTATATTAAAATAATTTGAAAGAAGACAATTAATTAATAAATTATTACGAGGCTTAAGCAGAGCAAAGTGCAGCAGAGAAAATGACTGTTGCTTTATAACGTATAGATCGGACCTTATGCAGAGTACTGCTCCCTTGGAAAGTAAAATACAAAAAAAAACAGTCAAAAAATTTAAGATTATGCAGTAGCATACAATTTTTTTGAAAACACCGTTTGAACTAAGTGGTAGATAGTGTTGTGGTAGTCCCACCATCATATCTAAACTAGACAGCTACTATCCATAAAAAAGACCATGCTACTGAGGAATTGTTCGAAATGATACCGGCATCTCATTTTTACCATCGCACCGCCCGCCACCGGAGTTGAGTTCATCCATACTACCTGGAGCCACTGCGGTCATTCACAGTGCGTTTCCAGAGATTTTTTTTGCCACATACCATCCGGCTATGCAATGTGCTCCCCTCCACGGTGTTTCCCGAGCGCTATGACATGTCCTTCTTCAAACGAGGCTTGTGGAGAGTATTAAGCGGTAGGCAGCGGCTTGGCTCTGCCCCTGGCATTGCTGAAGTCCATGGGCGACGGTAACCACTCACCATCAGGTGGGCCGTATGCTCGTCTGCCTACAAGGGCAATAAAAAAAAGCAAAATACACAGACTAAAAAATAATAACAAAACTACATACCTTTTATACTGTTTTACAAAGATGTGTCAACAGAAGAACTGATGGACACAGGGGGCAGGTAGTGGCTTCGGATTTGAGTATGAAGACGGGCAACCTCACCATCAATGCTCTCCAGGTCACGAATAAGCTGAGTGAATTGAACTATGCCTGTGATAAATTTTTGTTAACATGTCAAACATCTGTGATAAAAATAGTATACTTAAACAGTTCATTTTTTTAAAACACTTCACAGTTGTTCCCTTGTTGCATTCAAGGACTTAAGCAAAACTAAGAAGAGATTTCAAATTTTTATATATTTTTAAATCAGCCTGTGAAAAATGTTTTGTTCTTTTATTAATTTTCCAAATTCAATATAACACGGGTTGAGATGTGTATGCTGTAGGGTTGTATGGAATTCGATTAAATAAAATATATGTAAAATTTTGCCATCTGCAATTATTGTTAATTTTAACATGCGAATTGGTAATTTTAAAATACTGTAGTAACATTAATATACAATAATCAAATTATGTCAAATATAAATAATATCACAAGAAAGAAAAACTATGCAATAAAACGAGCTCGGCATACCTTCACGAGAATTATTGAAGCCATGGTGCTTTATCGTTTCCATTTCTATTTGCACGACCATGGGAAAGACTATTTGCATCATTTTCAGCATCTCATTACCAGCTGCTTCTTTAGCTTCATCGAGTTTGGAAGCATAATCAGGCGATTCCAGGGCGTCTATAATTTCATTTAGTATTTGTCGCATTTGATCGACTGATACGCTTTGAGGCGACGACATGTTTTAGTTTCTAATCATGGCCGCATGATCTAATATTTAATTAAAACAGCTTTCTTTGAAAAGGGCCAGAAATTCAGGAATTGCTTTTTCTTGTTATTTTGCTGGATTACTTCAAATCGTAGTATGTAGATCGTGTATAATCTATGACTATAGTACAGCGTTGCCAACTCGAAATTCGTCAAGGTGGGAGATAGGGTTCTACAAGTTGGTAGTTTCCAACAAACCCTACTATGAAAAGTTGGAAGATCTACTACCTTGGTAGATCTACCACCCATAATTTTCAAGTCTTTTAGAGACCCTCCAATAAGAATATGGCATCCTTAATTTACTTTTCGATTGGATAAGACATATTTGAACTATTTTTATTAGAAATCCAGTGATAAAACAGAATTACAGGCCGCTAATATTCTTATTTTTCCCATAGTTGAGAATATTTTTGATTGTAATGCATCTTTTTTAATTTTCGAGAAGGAGAATTTTCTTCGTTTTCACTTTCACTTTCACTCATTTTGATAGTGTCCAATTGAAAAAAAAATTTACAAGTTAGATATATAGTGTAAACACAGATATGTAGAAATCGTATGTAGAAAGAGCTTTAAGATCTAACGCCGCCATGATGTTTGTTTTTTTTATTTTTTATTAAGCCGTCATGATAATATGACCTGTACACATGGAGTTAATAAGTACCTTAAATTAGTAACTCTATGCCTGTACAGCAACCTGTAACGCCCTCAATTTTCGAGTAAATTCGATGAATCCATCAAAGGGTAAAAAAGCAAGAGAAAGATTACGAAAAATAAAAAAAATATATAGTTTCAATATTATTTTCATGCAGGTTTGATTTGAACTTTTAGAAAACTTCAAAAGTTGGTAGATAAAGTGGTAGGTTTGATTACGACACTAAAAGTTAGTAGATCTACCGAAAAGTTGGTAGAGTTGGCAGCGCTGCTATAATAGTAGTGGTTTTATTTTCTAAATGGAAAGGCAAAGGTATCATACCATACCGCCTTATCTTGTATATTTTTTTTATGAAATATGATATTATGAAATTATGAAATGAAGTTGATTAATTTAATATGAAATATGACACGAATAAAATGAAATGAGATGATTTGATATGGGATGTTTTTATGAAAAATGATAATATGGAGTGAAATGAAATGAAGATGATTAATTAGAGACATTAATCAACTGGGATGAAATTAAATGAAATTACTAGATATCTTTATTTTTATCACTCAAATTAATTAATTTTGATCAATTATCGTTTGTTCGATGACTATTGGTGATTGTTCGATCATAAAAAAAATTAAATTCCCAATTATTAATAATTTTATATCTAATAAGCAAACTATCCAACCATGAGGTGAGCATTAATTATAAATAAATAAAAGACGAACAAAAAAATTTTTATATTCGTACATTAACGAATAAACAATGAACAAATAATTAAAAATTAAAAAAATCCGAAAATCAAAAACGGGGGGCCAAATTCAGTAAGCCATTTAGGTAACTACTAACTATTAAATTAACCTGTGGTATAATATTTGACAACATTGCCATTTGCCATAGATTATACACTTAATATATTTGAGAAACATTGCAAGATTTTCAAATTTTCATTGTTTTTTTCAAATCAAAAGACATGAAATGGCTTAAAAATATTTAGTGTAATTGTATTAAACATATCAGTGTAAAGAAGAGCTAGCAACAAATGAAACTTATTTTAAATTTATGAAATAAAATATATATGTTATCAATATTGGTATTGTGGTAGCTCCCTTTAAACTCTCGTAGTAAGTAACTTATACTAAAGTAATAATATATCAGTAAAAACTATTAATAAATTAAGTTAAGTTTATCAGACCTTATTTAAGTTTATCAGAACTATCAGATTTTATTTGGTGTTGTCACATTGTGGTGTGTAAGTTGTAGACATCATTGGAAATACTTTTTCTATCGGATACAATTTATGGCAACGAAAAATTAAGCCTTTTCTGAGCATGTTTTAAATTTATTGTCTATTTTCGAAGCAAAACTGACAGACATATAATATGAAGATGTTTTAGAATGGAAATTGAATAGTTATTCCTTCTATTTTGCTTCTAGAAATATCGATAAGTAAACGTAAACAATCTATGAAAGTCTGCCAAGTAACACGCAAGAAGTATTCTCTGAAGTGGCAACAAAGACTACAAAGTTTTAATTGAATTCAAATTTGTTTTTATCAAAAATCATGTACGAACTTAGAACAAACAATCCAACCTACACTAATACTATATGTCTCATCACCACATGAGGTCATTAATACTTTATCTAAAATTCTATGTACAAGGGTTCATGTATAGATTCATGTTATATTTAGATCATTTATTTCAATAAATTTTATCTTTGAAATGGTCACAAAGATAAATTATAACATACTAGAGGTCCCGCAGTAGTCGAAATTCGACTATAATTAATGGGAATTGTAAGTTTGTACACTATTATGATTGTATTTTATACTTCTATAATCACAAATTTCACCAAGACTACACTATAAAAAATATTAACAAAGACAAACCATATTCTATTCTTAATTTGACAACAGACGTCAAGAACAAAAGTTTGACAATAAATAGAATGCATGCGTGTGTGCGTCAAATACATGGTATGTAGTGTGTGTAATGTTTTCTTTATTGATTTAATGTATCTTTTATGCATTATTTTAAAAAAAATATTAGCATTGTGCACTTCTTCTCTATATTCTCTATAAGTGTGGAAAATTTCATACTCCTCCGTACGCGCAATTTTCGTAAAAAGGGATACGAAGTTTTTGCTTCACGTATTAATATATAGATTAGAATTGAATACAGTTTCAAATGTAAATATTTGAATCAGCCCTTATGCTATTAATAAAGATATCACAGGTAAAATGAAGATAATATCTATTATCATTTAATTATAAAACAAAGATAGTTAATCATAAAATAATCACTATAAAGATAATGAAATTTTGTTATTGTGTACTAATTGGGACTTTAATATATATCACCACCAGTTCTTAAACAAGTTTCAAAAATATTTGATAAAGAACCATTGGATTGTTCTCTAGGCTGCTTTCCATAAAGTTAAAAGGATTAGTAGATTTTCAAAAACACATACTCAATAAGATTGGTTAACTATATTTCCACACTCATATAGCCCGATGACTATTAAGAGTTGTGCATAAAATATTCTTGATAAAACAGTTTTCTTTGGTTTTTGTGAGTAATAAATATAGGTAAAATTACTTTAATGGAAAAAACTATTTCAAACTAAATTATCATACTAATTGGCAAATCTAAAGATTCTATAATTAAAAAAGCATATGTTTGCTTAAACCTTTCCAGTAACTAAACAATAAAAAATGGACGATGAAATAGAAGTGGACCCGAGGCCTTTAAGCTCACGCCGAAGCTTTACGCTGAGAAACTCTGCAGCAAGACAGGTCGCCGTCAACTTTATGCCATCAAGACAAATTCCTTACAGTATGTATTAAATTATTTGGTTATTATTACATCTCTTCAAATACAACTGCGTTTAAAAAACTGATTCCTTTCTGGTCTAGTCATACTTAATTAGATATCACAAAGTCAACCATGCAACCCACCTTGAGACCATAGGTTGAAGTCTCAATAGGATGGTATCTTCAACAGTTTTCCCATCCCTCAAATCTGAATGCACGATTATTACTGTCACACATTTTGCAAGTCATCAGTTCCATAAGCTTCAATCTTCTATATGTCGATGTTTTCACTACAACTTTTTAATATGTTTCATTATTTAAATAACTGTATTGCTAGCAACATGACGTGTTGAGTTAACGTGTAATTTTCATACATCCACTGTTATTAATTTTAGTTATGAAAATTAGAATAAATACCTTTGTTACTACCCTACACTCTTTGATGAAGTGCCTCGTATATAGGGTCGGAATACTCTAATAAATCTAATTATCAAATAATATAAATAATTATGTTGGTGCAATAATAAACAACATGTTTGCATATGTAAATGTTATTGTATTAAAACAGACACATTGAGACTACGTCGAAACAATACCGAAAATAATGCATTGCTGACTGATGTTGCTGAGGCAGCAGATGAAGCTGACAATGCTGATGTGCAAGCCAATATTATCGTTCGTGAGATGGAACAGCACCACCAGCTCATGGAGGACACCCCTGATGCCGAGGAGCTGAGAAGGTGAGAGTTGTGGAGTGTATGTTTTCTTAGTTTTCAATCTGCATTTATTCAGAGCGCAAGTGAACCATCAAAATGTTAATCAAAATTAAAATATTTGATTAATAATTATATTGTTATTTAATTATGCTTATGTGCTTAAATTAAAAATAAACAGTCCAATCATCCTAATTAATTAAAAATGTGATTCCAAATCCTTTTTAAAAAAAATAATACTTGTTTACTACAGTAAATACTACATTACATTGAAGAGGTAATTTCGAACAATAACAATATCTTCATAGAATCAACGTAAACAAGAAATTTATAACAAACATCTCAAATGTTCAAGTTTTAACAAGTAAAATGAAGTGATATCAAAATTTCTGTACAGCTCAATTCCTAATCACCTGGTTATTATTATTATTATTTTTTTTTTTATTGCTTAGGTGGGTGGACGAGCTCACAGCCCACCTGGTGTTAAGTGGTTACTGGAGCCCATAGACATCCACAACGTAAATGCGTCACCCATCTTGAGATATAAGTTCTAAGATCTCAAGTATAGTTACAACGGCTGCCCCACCCTTCAAACCGAAATGCATTACTGCTTCACGGCAGAAATAGGCAGGGCGGTGGTACCTACCCGCGCGGACTCACAAGAGGTCCTACCACCACTACCTTAATATATATCTTTAAACAGTTTTCACTCTGGTGAAGATTATGAACGTTATTCTTTCAGAGAGGCTCTTCGTGAGCTCCCGCAAGGTTTGACCATGAAGAGGAATGTACGAGCGAAATTATCTGCCTCAGTTAGCTTGAGGTCGAAAAGGAAACCAATTTCACTGTGGAAAAGGTTCAAATACAGAATGAGCTTTGGATGGAAACGGGTACGATGCTTTTGAATTCTCATCAGTATGGGAATGAGATGTCTGAAAGTGCTGTAACTTTGCTGAAATCATTATTTGGTATTAGCAAATAATCGCGTATTGGATTGACATTGCCTATTTACAAAATACAAATTTACTCAAGAGCACTTGAAATATATGTTGTTCTTTGTTTATGTTGTTGTGGTAGATGATTGACATTGTCAAGGAGGCCACAAACACCAGTGTCGCGGGCGCTATTATGCAGGCCGAATGCAGGCAACATTGGAGGAAGCTAGTGCAAAAACTGGACCAAGGTGGTCACGACCCTCAGTAATGAGGAAGCGACAAAGAAGAAGAAGAAGTAGATGATTGGACACCAGATTCTCTTGTATTGATATTTCCTTCGCAATCTTTTCAGACAAAAGACCGCATGCGCGATCTCGTATTTTCGATTGAACTCTGGTACGAAGCCATTCGGAATATTGAGGGCCACTTCGGATCGGCTGTCGGGTCATACTTCTATCTAGTTCGCTGGCTGTTTACTATGAACTTGCTGCTATCTGGAATGGTGATACTGTTCGTGGTGGTGCCGCAGGTCCTGCATGATAAGCCCGACAGGACTGTAAACTTCGGATTCTGGGATTTCATTAGTGGGCAGGTAATTAATTCTCTTTATGTTTGTTTTTATTTGTTTAATAAGTAATGATGTCGGATTACACATTTCATATTGATATGAAACCTGGTCTTTGTGTACTTCTTAATAATAATTTGAGGTATAATATAAATAAAAATATAAATATAATTATTTACTAACAATCACGCCACGTTAACTGGTCCCGTGATAAGTTCGTAAAGAACTTGTGTTACAAGTACCAGATAACGGAAATAAATATAATATTTTTATTACACAAATACATATATTTAATATACACCCATAACCCTGGAAATACATTTATATTTATCATATAAATATCTTCCCTTGGCGGGATTCGAACCCGCGACCCCCTTGTGTAGTGACCATGTCACTTACCACTACACCAGACGGCCGTTAAATGCCGGTATGGGGTAGTTATTATTTGAATACATGACTCAAAAGCGAATTTGATCTTTCCACTGGGTACACCAGCATCCCTAATGTTGTCCATATGAACTACCGCTTCTGATCGTTTCTTTCCGCAGTCTGTGTCCTACAATTTGCAACAGCCAAATTTCGAATCATTCAAAATATTTCGTAGTTTGCTTATTTCGCGTCTGCAAATATATTTTACTCAAGTAGATCTGTATCTACTTGAGTGAAATATATTGATATAATTGGTTTGAGCGTTAATTCTAGTGCAAGTACTGATATATTTCTAAACAAATACGTTCCTGCTTAAATAATTTTGACGACGAAGGAGCAGAGTCATAATAAACAGCACATTGTGAGCCCAGCTCCATATTGATTCTTATAGTATCTGGAAAAAAAATACTAACCTAAAATAATTAAATTTCAATGTAGTGTCAGCCCTATAACATCCATTTGTGTTGTATTGCACTCATGAGGATCATAGTCCTAACAAAAGTGCTCCGTAAAGGTCACGACCCTCAGCATTGAGAAGCACGAAGCACGGAGGGTGGTACTTATATTGATCTATGGCATTATTTTTTCAGGGTTGGTTAGAAGACTCGTTGTTGTTCTACGCGCACTACCACGACGGCGCGGTGGTCACGGCCGGACTCTCATACTACATGCCGTTCGCGTATTTCTTCACTATGGTCTGTCTGTATCTGACATGTTTTGCTGTTCTGTGCTACAGGTTAGTTAAAAGTCTTATTATTAACTAGCTGTACCCGTCCGCTTCGCTGGGCATTTAAAATTAACATTCTTATTCTCACAAAGATTCTCATCATTAACGGCCCCGCAACTAGTGTAGGGAGTCCAACACTCATATAAGTACTAGCCTATCCATTAAGTACATGTATTTTCTACATGGATACCAAGTTTCAAGTCAATCGGATGCACGGTTCAGTAGTTATAACGGAACATCCGTAAAAATCACTAGATTTAGATATTAGTACTACTTGACCCGGCAGACTTGCCACAACCGATAAATAAAAGACCTAAACTTTTGTATGATATAAACTTAAAAAAAAAACAAAAGGAATCGGTCCGACAGGGGACACATCAAAGGAAAAACAAAATTGTTTGTTTTTATATAATTCCGAGCATTTTCATATGTTTTCACCTTTTAAACCTTCTCTGGACTTCCACGAATAATTCAAGACCAAAATTAACCAAATCGGTCCAGCCGTTCTCGAGTTTTAGCGAGAGTAACGAACGGCAATTCATTTTTATATATAGAGATAGATTGACGTGGGAACTTGTTAAATTTATTGCGCTTTTCTGAGCCTATAAATCCAGGATGCACGTTACTGATAGATAGTTTAAATCTGCCAAAAAAGTTCTGAGATTTAATTTTTTGGCGCAAATTGAGATTAACTATGTATGTGGAACTTGTGCTGAGTATACGAGCTGGGACATTCAAGGTTGCTAATGCCCCACCATGAATAGTGCACCGTGAAGGTTATAGCTTCTTCTGAACGAATTCTGTCTTTTTGTTTTCTTATGATTCTTTTTATTGTACTCGTAGGCAGACGAGCATACAACCCACCTGATGGTGAGTGGTTACCGTCGCCCATGGATATCAGCAACGTCAGGGCAGAGTCAAGCCGCTGCCTACTTACCTGTACGAGGTTGTCTTATTTCATAATATACACATGTGTCTTATGAAAAAGTCAGTGTATGTCTTATGAAAAAGTCAGTGTGAAAAAGTCAGTAAAAGGTGTTGTGAGGTCAACGACCTCATGAAGTTACGACGTCCATGGCGTGTCCGAGCGACCCTCGCCTCGCGTATACCACTACGAAAATACTGTTTGTGATGGTACTCGATTTCCGATGTACCCGTCTGCTTAGCCTAATGACTCTTCCTTCTTCCACCAGAACTGCATATTCCTACCGACGTAACTTCATCGAGACCGGAGGCGGAGTGACTTTGATTTTCGCCAACAAAGTTTTTTGCGGCTGGGACTTTGGTATAGTCTCCCATAAAGCCGCCGAATTGACCTCCACAAGCATCTATAACGAATTTAAGGTGAGAATTCTTTGTTGTCCTCATTTAAGTACAAGTTGTGCCTGGTCCGCTGCGTCAGGCGTCCTGTGAGCTTTAAGTCGTACTATTATGCCATGTATGAATTTAAACAATATAATTAGTATTGATACCAATTCAAGACAAGCTTTAGGATGAATAGTGTGTAATAAAATTAACCTTCCTCCCCCCTTTTTGTGGGGTTGTTGCGGCACTCGAACGTCCTCCCAACCAGGTGTTCTGGGTTCGAAAAGTACGCATACTTTATACCAGTGTAACTGAACTAGGTTAAGGCTTTAATAAATAAGAATTCCACATGACCACGATTGCTCTGCCAAGAGTAACCGACTATGATGAACTGAACTCGGTCCACGTCATACGATGAAAAGTAGCAGCACTTATATTTAGAAACTAGCTGACCTGGCAGACTTCGTAGTGCCTCAATCGATAAATAAAAGATCTAAACTTTTGTATAAAATAAACTTAAAACATAACAAAGGAAAACCAAAATTGTTATTTTTATTTAATTCCGGGTATTTTCATATTTATCTACCTTTTAAACCTTCTCTGGATTTCCACAAATAATTTAAGACCAAACTTACCCAAATAGGTCCAGCCGTTCTTGAGTTTTAGCGAGACTAACGAACAGCAATTCATTTTTATATATATATAGATAGAAGATCGATAATTAATTTAGACAAAAAAAAATGCGTGTAAATAACAAAAAAAAACGTTTTCTGACGAATTATGTAGACTACAGCCGTAGCGTTTAAAAAAAACCAAAATTCTATTAACTTATTTGTTATAGAATTATAATTATTACAATTAATTAAACTAAGATGCTATTGAGTGGACTTGGACGATGTCAGTACCGAAGTGGCGCCAGCGGGCCCCGGCCCGGGCGGCATAGCGACGCTGCAGTGTCAGCACTTGACGCCAGTCGCGTACTTTTCCATGAACATGGAATGAGGTTGCTGCGTCGACATTTTGTAGTCACGTACGCCACTGGTTGCTAATTGCGAAATCGCGAATTAGCAAAATGCATGTAACTAGGGTCCGTAACAGACGTCATTGTATTTTTTAATTACCTTAGCAGACAGACGAGCGTACGGTCCACCTGATGGTGAGTGGTTACCGTCGCCCATAGACTTCAGCAATGCCAGGAGCAGAGCCCAGCCGCTGCCTCTGTGTTGTGCTCATGCCTGACTCATCACTTTACAACTAATACAAAACAGAAATATTTTGAACGCTATTTAACATTGTGTTTATATAATAGAACAGTGTGCTTAGTGCGAGTTTTTTAACGTTCCCGATAGCGTAAAAGTTAACCCAATTTTGTATGCAGTTGGAACAGCGCCTCTAGCGGCAAACGTAGGCAAACGATCACAGTCCATACAAGTATGAAATAACTTTTACGCTATCGAGAACGTTAAAAAACTCGCACTAAGCCCATTGCTTCTTGTAACACAGGAGACAGTCTGTATACCGTTATGGAGTGGTACCCTCGTCCACAGGAACTCCTCAGCGAACAGAACAGGAACAAAGTGTCGATGCCGGTCTGCGTGAGGATATGCCAGTACATGACCAACGTAGTGGCCACCGGGCTGGTGCTGGCGCTGGTGGTGGCCGTGAACTGGGGGCTGTGGCACATGCTGGAGGCGGAGACGGAGTGGGCGGTGTGGGAGCTGGCGGTGTCGGCGCTGCTGACGCTCGTCGTCACTCTGTGCCCACTCGTCTTCTACGGAGTTGTCAAGTCAGTTTGTCATATTGGTATTTGATTCTTATTACAACAGATTTTTTTTAAGTAATTTTATGACCTGGTAACTAAGACCTTTAAGTCATGCCTTATTTTAATTCATATTCATGTTTTTATGAAAAATGATAATATGGAGTGAAATGAAATGAAATGAAGAAGATTAATTTGAGACATTAATTAACTGGGATGAAATTAAATGAAATTAGATGAGATGATATGGGATGAAATATAATCTCAGTAAAATGGTGGTCGTTTACTGAGATTTTGTTTCATTTTCCCACATTTGTGCACTTTCACAGATATTAAACAGTTAATAAACCACCGTTATTACACATTTAAACCTGAAGAAACACTAAATAGACAAAATAAAACAAATCACACAACTTCACTCCTCGCGTTCTCGCCAAAAAGTGAACAAGAATTAAAGTTTTTATTTTTATTTATAACGGCCAATGACTACTCGGCTTTTTAGCCAAATCTCTAGTAACACTAAATGACGCAATGCTTCTGAAGTGAAAACAAACTTTTCAATTGGAATTGGGAAACGACAATCGGTGACTTTGAAAATCTCTACTACGCCACTATCGTGTGCCCGTCAAGAAGTTGTTTCAACGTATTGTCTGTCCATGGGCCAATGATGTTGTAATCCTTAGATTAGAGTACTACACGCGTCGTACGGCGGTCTACGTGACGCTGGCCAGGACTTGGCTGTTGGACATGGGCGCGCTGATGCTGCTGCTGGTGTACTGGTCCCGGTCGAACACTGACGTAAGCATTTGACGTCACAAGCCACAGTAGTGCAATGATCAATAAGCTTGCGCGCTAGTAACACTAGTGATACCAACACTTATTGGTACCTATTTCTACCATGGTGGGTAGATGACGGTATACGATAAGTATTACTGAAAAAAAAAACAAAAAAAAAACAAATAATGGGACACAGAATACGAGACATTTTGTTTTCTTTAAATAATTGTACTAAATCCTGGTCGCACAGATAAGAAACCATTCACGACTTATGTTGTTCAATACGAAATTTAAAAATCCACAGATACTGCCACGATTATCAATTTATATTATAACCGTAACATACAGACAAACTTGTAATAACTTCTAAGAGCATTTTATTTTTCGAGAAAATAAAAACCTAAATTAAAGTTATTATTTTCTTGGGCTATTGTGATTACGTAAACATAATTAAAACTACATTACCGGTTTAATCTCGCCCTTAATTTATTTATTGTCATCACATTATTTATGATGTTTCGAATATTGCTCAGTTTTCGTGGTCTTAGCGGCTTAGCGTTTGACTACAAAACAATAAATAACTATTCTTATTTAAAAAATCGACGGTACTTAGAAAAAAATGTTCAAATGTCAATGAAACTAAAGTATACGAGACGCCTAAAAAATATAGTGACAATAAAAAATGCGATTTTAAACCGTCAATGTAGTTTTAATTATAAATTACTAATATGAAGTAGTATAGTGTAATTGTTGAAGTGAAACTTCTAATGCAACAAGGTTGCGTTAAACGTTTAACGCTACCCTGGAATAGAAAGAGACATAGCGAGAGTGCATGCGTGGCACTCGAACGTTAGCAACGAGTAGCGTCTGATATTTTAACGAAGTATTTAAAAAATATACATATATTTATTTTTCTATCTATAATTTAAAATGCTAATGCTAAAGATGTCGCATCTCTTATACACAGCATTCCCTATTACAAGAGCAATCTGATTTAAGGATGAATAATGAAGAAAACCACAATACTACACATCAAAAAAGAAGTTTCACTTCATTCACGCGCACCAAGTTGCACGCGCACCATTTTTTTTGTTATATTTTTGTTGCCATTTTTGATTTTGTTTTATCGACCGAACACATAGTGCTGGGAGACGCGTTTCGGTCAGGAAGCGTACAGGCTGGTCCTGCTGGACGCCGTGGTCTCGCTGCTGGTGTTGCCAGCCATTGAGTTTATTAGAGCTTTGATATATAAGTGAGTTCGCTTTGTTTATTTGCTTTATTATTATTATTTTTATTAAACGTTTTCAGTGCGAATGTGAATTTAATCGACTCGTTTTTTAAATTTGGAAAAGCAAAGGTTATCACTAGTATAGTTTGGTTTAGGGGAACGTATAGTACGACTGGTCCCACGAATCGTCCCTCGCACGTAATATCCTAGAACAGGGCTGTTCAAACTACATATATACCTTTGCGGGCATATTAATTTTACTACAAAAGCTGGAGGGCCGCACAATAATATATTTTCAAAAACAAAATAAAATACTTTCCGGGAATTCCCCCAATAATAGTTAAAGATAGCTTCATTTTTAAATGATGTAATGGTAATGGAATGTTACAAGAATAAAGATAAATTATACCAAATATTGATTATATGTTTTGATAAAAAAATCTATTATCGAAACTATTTACATGTATTCAAAATTATTTTCTGATTCTGGACAGCCCTAATCTAGAGTAATGAGAACGTACGCACAACGTAAATGCGCCACCCACCTTGAGATATAAGTTCTAAGATCTCAAGTATAGTTACAACGGCTGCCCCACCCTTCAAACCGAAACGCATCACTGCTTCACGGCAGAAATAGATAGGGTGATGGTACTCACTGGACTCACAAGAGGTCCTACCACCAGTAATTACGCAAAATATAATTTTGCGGGTTTGATTTTTATTACACGATGTTATTCCTTCACTGTGGAAGCCGATCGTGAAAATTTGTTGAGTATGTATTTCCAATTAGAAAAACTGGTACCCGCCTGCGGGATTCGAACACCGGTGCATCGCTACATACGAATGCACCGGACGTCTTATCTTTTAGGCCACGACGACTTCGTCTACTAGTTAAGGTTACGCTGAAATGTTCTCTCAAGGCCATCAGCTTAGGTAGGAAAAAAAAAACAATCATTTCATAACAATAGCGTTCCACCAGGTTAAACCCGGACTCGTCGGCGCCGGAGTTCAACATAGCGTACAACTCGCTCACGTTGATCTACAACCAGGGGGTGCTCTGGTTCGGCCTGCTGTTCTCCCCCCTCCTGGTGGTGGCGGTCACCATTAAGTTCTTTATCCTGTTCTACGTGAAGAGAGAATGCGCTCTGAGGGCATGCCAGCCGGCTAGAAAGGTGAGGCTTTGGAAGTTATGCTATAGATTTTGTCTACGCGAGACATTGTGGCTTTATTGCATTTATAATAAAACCAATTGATTTCTTGCTAATTGCTTTAATTATAATTTACAATGCTTTAGTCGTGATTGCACGTCGATGAATGTATTATATGAATCTGACATTTTCGAAGGAAAAGGATCTTGTTCCAATAATGATTTTTGTGAGGTATCTTAGGAGTATTGTTGAATGCTGTCAGCCCGCGGTGCCGGTAGTGCTAAACGAATCAGGCGCCGCTACTGATTTGTTTTTGAGGTTTTGTCAAATGAGATTCCTCGCACCATGAGATGGACCCTGTGATCTTAGTTTAGAAGCTTCGGAAGAACGAACGGGTCAGCCTTCAAACCGGACTGCGTGATGCGGAGTTGTAGACATTAGTGGGGCGGTAGTAACTAAGCGGGTAGGCTGCGGGGTCGTTGACCCCGTGTGTCAGCTGATTTAAAAGAATACGGGAAAACAACCGTATTATGTTTAAAACGAAACGAAGTCGCTGGACATCGCTTACTAGAAAGATGTTTTTTATTTTTTTTATTGCCCTTGTAGGCAGACGAGCATACGGCCCACCTGATGGTGAGTGGTTACCGTCGCCCATGGACTTCAGCAATGCCAGGGGCAGAGCCAAGCCGCTGCCTACCTCTTAATACATTGAAGTTGACATTGAAAGATATTGAAGTTTCATTAGATTCCCACAATTTCTTAAACTTAAATGAACTTCATTCCGTTTTATTGAATTTTAGTAATAAAGCATGTATGTATGTAATGTGATCAGTAAAGATTTTCCATAACCCTATAACCCTCGCGTCCCGCAGGTGTGGCGGGCGGCACAGACGCAGACGGTGCTGTACGTGCTGGTCACGCTCTCGCTCTTCGCCACGCTGTTCGGGCTCGGCTCACTGTTCTTCAGGTCAGTCTCCACCCCCCCCCCCTTTCCCCCCTCCCATCCCATTGTTTTCCATCTGCTGCGATCTTTGAGCTCGTGGAAGGCATCTCCCTCGTCTTCCCGTGTGATGTAAACTTCTTACTTGAAATTATCAGTCATAAGTTGATGTCATTTTCAGTCAGTTTTATTAGTTATTTGTCAATGTATCTAATGTAACCAAAACAATTTTTACTGTTAATTTTAGCTTATTAAAAAAACCTTATATGCATTAAAGGTTTTCTCTTATTACACCGGGTCTCATCATCTTGCTCGTCACCAAGACAAGATCGTGACCCTCTTTCCGAGCAATGTGTCTAAAGAACTCCATTACTCTACAAATGCATATTGTAGGTCAGTCCCTCGGGACCAATCCCAGACGAGCTGATGTAGTTAACGCTTGAAGGCTTTAAGCAAGACAAGGCATTTTTTTATTGCTTGGATTAGTGGACGAGCTTACAACCTACCTGGTGTTAAGTGGTTACTGGAGCCCATAGACATCTACAAAGTAAATGCACCACCCAGCTTGAGATATAAGTTCTAAGGTCTCAGTATGGCTACAACGGCTGCTCCACCCTTCAAACCGAAATGTGTTACTGCTTCACGGTACTTCACTGCTGCACGGGGTGGTGGTACCTACCCGTGCGGACTTACAAAAGGTCCTACCACCAATAATAATTTTTGTGGTTTTTACATGAGCAGGAGTTCATCGAAGGTCTGCGGCCCGTTCCGTGGCTACGAGACGGTGTACAGCGTGCTCAGCGAAGGAGCCCTGAGGCTGTCGGAGCACCCCGCCGCTGCCACCATACTCGCCTTCTTCGGCAGGCCCGGACCTCTGGCCTTCATACTGCTTTTTCTCTGGTGAGCACCGACTGCGCACTCACTGGCCTCCTAGTGCATAGCGGTACCGTATAGGCAGACGAGCATACGGCCCACCTGATGGTGAGTGGTTACCGTCGCTCATGGACGTCAGCAATGCCAGGGGCAGCGCTAAGCTGCTGCTTACCGTTTAATACTCTCCATAAGTCACTTTTGAAGAAGGACATGTCATAGCGCTCGGGAAACACTGGAGGGAAGCTCATTCCAAAGCCGGATGGTATATAGCAAAAATGATCTCTGAAAACGCACTGTGGATGGACGCAGTGGCTCCAGGTAGTATGGATGAACTCTACTCCGGTGACGGGCGGTACGATGGTAAAAACGATATGTCGGTATCATCTCGAACAATTCCTCAGAGCACTTTCCATGGAACATACGGTACAAAATACAGAGGGAATCGAATGGTTCTCTCCTGTATGGAGTCAAATGGGAGTGGCAATGAACCGGATGTTACTGAAGCTTATGTACATCTCAATGCTACTGTGGCGGGTAGCCATCATTCAACGCAACGATATTTTACAGATGCCTAAGCCCAAAGTCGGGGTCACCAGAGTTGTAGAATAACGACGAACAAATGTTGTTGTTCGGAACTTGTATATATGCGAGCTTGTCTTGAAAATGTCGTAAGCGAGATTCAGGCATTTGTCAAATATCTTGCGTTATATTTTTTTTAAGGGATTTTATGACCTGGTTACTAAGGCCTTTAAGTCATGTCTTATTTGTATTTATATAACCTTATTTTTATGAAAAATGATAATATGGAGTGAAATGAAATGAGATGAAATGAAGAAGAAGATTAATTTGAAGAAGATTAATTTGAGACATTTATCAACTGGGATGATATTAAATGAAATGAGATTAGATGATATGGAATGAAATGTAATCTCAGTAAAATGGTGGTCACTGAGATTTTTTCAGTGGATTTTTTGGAGGATCCCGAGAAGTTATGCCCAGCGGATATGCTTCGTTTTTCCACATTTGTGCACTTTCAAAGATATTAAACAGTTAATAAACCACAGTTATTACACATTTAAACCTGAAGAAACACTAAATAGACAAAATAAAACAAATCACACAGCTTCACTCCTCGCGTTCCCGCCAAAAAGTCCTTTTGCGTTGTATGATGGCTACCCGCCACAGCTGCCATCCACCCTGACTCAAAAGCTCCGTGTTTCCTAATATATAAAAATGGCTGAGCCACCATTGTAGTCCTCAGAAAGAGGTAGAGCGTGGTAGGATATAAGCCGTTGCATGTCCCGCAGCGTGTCGGTGTACTACATGCGGGCGCGCGCCCTCGCGCACTCCTCCATGGTGGTCATATTGCGTCACATGCTGGTACTGCAGGCGAAGGACAAGGACTTCCTGCTCAACGCCATCGCTAAAGTCTCCAACGGGGGTGAGTACCGGCCGTATTCTGCTTCTGTTGCCTTCAATATGTACGAGCGGTATAGAGATAAAGAGAGAGAGAGAGATAGATAGTGAGAGAGCTAGATAGTGAGAGAGCTAGATAGTGAGAGAGCTAGATAGTGAGAGAGCTAGATAGTGAGAGAGCTAGATAGTGAGAGAGCTAGATAGAGAGAGAGAGAGCGAGAGAGAGAGAGAGCTAGAGAGAGAAAGAGAGCTAGAGAGAGAAAGAGAGAGCTAGAGAGAGAGAGAGAGATATTGAGGGAGGTTGGTGGTACCTACCCGTGCGGACTCACAAGAGGTCTAACCACCAGTAAGGATGACCGTAAAGAAAGTAATGGTCCCAAGCTCGCGTCCCCTTGTATACCAACGTCGGGATATGTTCCGCAGAGTGGTCGTACAGCCCGAAGGCGGCCGAGGGCCCGGACAGCCACACGTGGAAGTACATTAGGGACGTCAGGAAGCCATCGAACTCTGGCTTCCATTTTGACGCGTCGAGGCTCAGTCATTCGTTCGGGGACCGACCTCGGTCGCGCGTCAAGGAATACCGGCCTTATTCGCATCTGACCGAGAGGTCGAAATCGAATGACGGCGACACGGACAGTTCGTTTAGCTGGCAAGGCTCTAGCAGTCGTCTGGCACAAGCCGAAGACGACAAGAGGTGGCCTTAGTTCGCAGTCTTATATATGAGTCGTCTATTATCAAAGGTGGCAATCTGTGCATTTGGACAAAAAAATGTTATTGATATGTCAATACAGATTGATTTGAATATAATCGTCTCCTTCAAAGAATACGGTTCAAAACCTGCATTAAATAAAGGTTAATAGTTAACCTGTTATTTATCTAAGATGTCGTTCCGAAGAGTTTTGTGACTGCCAATGGAATACAAAGTCAATAATTCGTTTTTCTGATTTACCAATAATTATCCAAAAGTCAGATTGCCGGCTTTGATAATAGTCGACTCATATACACATCGACGCTTGAAAGGCAAACGTGACTAAGCGACAATGCGTGAACTTTACACTAGACTAATTTAAAGTTGAAATACCTGAAAACCAAAAAAAGGGTGCGTGTACTTATGTACGCGCGTAAGAAGTTATACTTTATTTTTATTAAATTTATTTCTTTTTTTTTTTTAATATTATATAATTAATAATTTAATAATATTTAGTATGAATTATATTAAATAATAATTTTGTCATTTATATTACTAAAAAATGGATGCTACACTTTTTTTTACGAGTGTACATGCGCGAAAGTTCACCTGCGGCTATATTCAGACTCACCAAGTTACGTCGGTCGTATTGTAACGAATCTAGCTGTAGGATTGCAATTATTTTAATAGACCTAGAAATATATATTTTTTGCGCATCGAATATGGTTATTGCCTATCATTTATGTACAAAGCAGTTATGGTCGTTTAGTCACGTTTGCCTTTCAAGCGTCGATATATAAATAAATAATTTTAAATATATAAAGTGTCTTCCTTCGTTTTGAAAATGTTGCCAAAAATGAAATTTTGTCTTCCATATTTTTTATGTATGAAAAGGTTGTGAAATTTAAATCAGTCTTGCGTAATTAAACATTTTCGCATTTAAATTAACGGCTCCAATACTTCGATTAAAATTTGGATCCGTTTACTATTAAATAAGTAAGCAATAAACATTTACAGTATTTTAGTGGGAGTGACTTGTCTATTTCCAGCAATGTGTGGGTCGTTTTATATAGTATAGAATTTGTACTGAACTTTGACGTCATTATACAAAATAATTAACTCTTTGTTATAATTTCAGCCAATTAAATGTAATAAGGTTAGCTTTTTTTGTATGTACTATGAGAATATTAATTCAACACGCGATATTTTTATTACGTTAAGTTGACAGAAGATCTCACGGTCCAGTTGATGTTAAGTGGATACATAAATAAATATGAGAACGCATATTGTAGATGAGAGGTTCCTTCAGACCGCGACGCACTGTCGCTTGGCAGTAGACAACGATGCTAACACACTTATTTATCGTTACAGAAGGTACTGTCTGTCTATAGTCTCATTTATTATAACTGTCATCTTGGAGGCATCGGATGGCCTTTCTATCAACTTCTACATGCTCGTCTTTGTCTATTTAAATATAGATTACTTTTTTATTTATTTATGGGATTTTATGACCTGGTAACTAAGACCTTTAAGTTATGTCTTATTTTAATTTATATTCTTATTTTTATGAAAAATGATAATATGGAGTGAATTGAAATGAAATGAAGATAATTAATTTGAGACATTAATCAACTGGGATGAAATTAAATGAAATGAGATGAGATGATATGGGATGACATATAATCTCAGTAAAATGGGGGTCATTTACTGAGATTTTTTCAGTGGACTTTTTGGAGGATGCCGAGAAGTTACGTCCAGCGACTTTGTTTCATTTTCCTACATTTGTGCACTTTCACAGATATTAAACAGTTAATAAACCGCCGTTATTACATATTTAACAAACAAATCACACAACTTCACTCCTCGCGTTCCCGCCAAAAAGTCCGATTGCTTATTAGATTCCTACATGAATATAGATCAGTATTTTTTTAATGCATTTGACATATGGGTCGGTCAGTGACATTGTTAAGATAGATATTATAATTCAAGGTGTACTTTAAGAAACTAAACAATACTAAACATGTCCGTGTTTATAAATCGAGATAAAAAAAAAAATTTAATTTTGCGTAACGCACTGAAATGGCTCATAAATAATTTTAATACTATAGTTTTGTTTTTGATTATACCTAAAGATTTTTAATATAGATGGAATATTGGACAAATATTTTGAAGAAACAATTTCATAGAAATACAAATAAGTTTGTTATTTAAAAAGGTTTTAACCTTATCAAAGGCGGATCTCAGATAATAATAAAATTGTCTATTTTTTTTTAATTTAAATAGTTAAATTATACAAAATGTATGTGATTAAAGAGATCGAACATTTATAAATAGAGGCTATTTTTTATATGCATTTTCTAGTATTGTAACTCTTAAAAGAGCATGTTTTATTTATTATTTATACACGTACTAAATTTATAATTAAAATGAACTACGAAAAATAATGTTTATTTTTATTTCTGTACCTCTGAGAATACCTTTTGATACTGCATGGAATGATGTCTGTCTCACCCTTCACAAAGACAGGGTTACTTAATATCTGCTAAGCTCATGACACGCTTTATCACTAGTCAAAGTTAGCGGAATAATCATTAATTTATTAAGTTTTTTTATTTCCTACTTAAGCTGATAGCCTTGAGAGGCTATTTCAGCGTAACCTTAATTAGTAGGTGAGCTCACGGGGCTCAAAACGGACTGATGCTAACACTGACCCTAGCTAGAGCAGTGCTTCGCAGAATCTACCACCGGATCGAAAACGTGATCCACTGAGAAGATACGGCGAGAAACTCAGTGGGCGGTGTCTATGGGTTAATTCGTAACCCGTCGCTTGTGACGAAGGGCTCGACGAGGGCGCTGACCGGTGTTTGTGGCACCTAAAAGCACCGTTATTGGATCGGGAAAAGTTTTTGTTAATGTATATATCGACGCTTGAAAGGCAAACGTGACTAAGCGACAATGCGTAACTTTACAGTAGACTAATTTAAAGTTGAAATACCTGAAAAAAATTCTATTTTAACGAATCTAGCTGTAGGATTGAAATGATTTTAATAGACCTAGAAATATATATTTTTTGCGCATCGAATATGGTTTTTGCCTATCATTTATGTGCAAAGCAGTTATTTACGCTTAGTCACGTTTGACTTTCAAGCGTCGATATGTATATTATTGCTTATATGAATGGATTCATCGAAGTACGTAATGCAATAGAAACATTACCTGCCTGACGGATTCGAACACCGGTGCATAGCTTGGTACGAATGCACCGGCGTCATATCCTTTAGGCCACAACGCACTCCGCAACTTATTTCGGCCGACAGTAATATTGGAAGGCAAATCGAATCGACAACATGACGTGTATTGCAAATAACTCAACTCGCAACATCCGCACCGTAATTTCGATGACCTCACTAGCCATTATGTTTGCCCTGCCTATTTCTGCCGTGAAGCAGTAATGCGTTTCGGTTTGAAGGGCGGGGCAGCCGTCGTAACTATACTTGAGACCTTAGAACGTATATCTCAAGGTGGGTGGCGCATTTACGTCATAGATGTCTATGGGCTCAAGTAACCACTTAACACCAGGTGGGCTGTGAGCACGATCACCCATCTAAGTACTAAAAAAAGTTGCGATTTTTAGTTGTTTGCGTTTGGTTTTTTTTGTCTAATTCCTCGTAGTTCTTTAACTAATACTATAGTTAATTTTGGGATTAAGTACACAATATATTTTTAACCGACTTCAAAAGAGGAGGTTCTCAATTCGACTTTCTTTTGTATGTTTGTTACCTCATAACTTCTAACTGGGTGAATCGATTTTGATGATTCTTTTTTTTATAAGGAACCTGACTCTTCCCGTGTGGTCCCATTTCAATTTAGTCCAGTTCTGATAATGGTATCCATGAGAAAACCATGTAAGTCTTAAAATTGCATTAAGTACGTGCGCGACAAATAGCTGAATAACTCAATATCACGCTAACCGATTTCGATGATTATTGTTTTTATTCTGTTGAAGTCAATTTTTTTTAAATAAAAATTTTATATTATGATATTACTGAACTTAGATTATATTATATCAATTTTAAATAAATTATAATTTAGTCAGGAAAAAAATGTTTGAACATTTATTGTCATTATTTCATATGAAAATGTTTGGTCTCTGACGTGTGAACAACAGATTTAATGAGAAGTGTGTGTTGTACATGATACCTATATCGCTTATATCAATAATGAAACTGCAATTTGATTTGTCATTATTTATTCAATTATGTAAACCATTATCGTGTTCTATCATCTCAGTAGTAAATTTTTGAAACCGTCCAAATAAATAATAAATAATATAATGAAAAATGTTGCTGGTTGCTATATTTTAATAATATATTATGTTTCGTATCGGATATTGATAAGTTTGGAATTTATAAAAATTTTTGGACATCTGAATTACACGATTTACAAATTCCCAACGAAAAGTAATCATTATTTTATTCAAACATTTTTCTGAAAATATAATCTTATTATACAATGAATCAGAGAGGCTAAAAATGGGAGTTACCAATGGCCGTAAACAAATTATGTAAAAAAAAACATTAAACTATCCACTGCTGTGTGCCGTAATCACTTCTAAAGCCTTCCATTTAATAAAACATTTGGCAACCTACCAGACATCCAAATGAAATTTTGACAAGAATATTAATATTCATTTTAATGACATCTTGTTTTTGTGGAAACACTAATTACAATGACAATATAGGTAAACAAAATAATTAGTAAAAAAAACCCGTTTTGTCAATAATACTTGTACAATTATGATAATAAGATAAAGCTAATTCCTTAATAAATTTATTGATAACCATTCAAGGGTTCCATTGCGAGTGATCCAGGCTCCAGGACCAGCCTGATATTTATTGTATCATAAGTATAATTATAATTAATGTATCATCACGAAAGGCACAGGATATTTCTCTGGTTTGTTTGTACATGGTGTTGTTTGATAACGGAAGGTAAATGACCTTTCAAGACAATACAGACAATTATTATTAAAATGTGGGTAAAAAAATATGGTTCCATTACATTCATGCATGTTACATAAAAGTAACATTATATAGCTTCATTTGATAAAGTTTTGAGCTTTGGAAGCACGTTCGAATGGCTATAACTTAAGCGACTATCAATAATAATAATGATAATAATAATAATAATCTCATTGAATTGAATTAATTCACTACTGTGATGTAGAAATGGTGATATTCATTGATGCGTTCATTCATCATTTTCTCATCTTATAATTAAATCAAATCATTGGCTCACAACAATTTTTACAATTTAAATTCATGAAATGCACGATCACTTACAACTAAACAGTCAACAACAAAAGAAGACAACGAATGCGTTCAATTGTTACAGAGTCGGTATATAGATGCAACATTTTACGTACATACGTATAATCAATATACATACATACATATATGTAACCTCTATACGATTAATCCTTAAAGAGGTTAATATGTCATTTATAACATTCTTCTTTAGATGACATAAATAGAATTTCGATTATTGAAACATTAGAACATTAGACATATAAAGATCATTTTTGCAATATTAAAATATAAAAAGATATAAAAATAATGGTGAAGCCATAGCTTTAAATGTTGTTTCTCTTTATAAGAGCAACTCAATTTGTGCTATAGTTTTACGAAGCTAAACTGTATTTTGATACAAATAAAATAATACATTATAAAACAACATTTAAAGCTATTGCTTCACCATTATTTTTATATCTTTTTATATTTTAATATTGCAAAAATGCTCTTTATATGTCTAATGTTCTAATGTTTCAATAATCGAAATTCTATTTATGTCATCTAAAGAAGAATGTTATAAATGACATATTAACCTCTTTAAGGTTTAATCGTATAGAGGTTACATATATACGAACATTATTCGAGAGGTTGCCGTGACCAAGTAATGTACAGCAAATAATTTGTTCAAAATTAAAATAACGGAAAAGGTAAATTTATACATCAATCTAATGTCAAATATATTGTGTTATTGACGATCAATCATATACGCAGAGACGTCGTAAAATAGACTTTAAACGATACGTCAAATAAAGTTTAGTTTACAAAGACAAAATATTGAACGGTCAATATTAGTTGCTGACATACACGACACACACACACCACTTGTACCGAATACAAAAATAAATTAGCGCGATCCCGCCGAGCGTCCTCGGAACATTAACTAATTAAACTAGATCACATATTATTGTTCGTTATGTTTGAGCCCTGGATTCGTCCTCGGATCGGGTTGATCCGGGACGGAGGGTCGCTACCGCTTCCTGCGCCGCCCCTTGCGATAGCCCTTCCCGTACCAGCCCCCGGTCTCTTCCCCGTTCGTCCTGCCGTCCTCCCCGTCGCCGCAGCAGGCGCATAGATACTTCCTACCCTTGATCTTGCGCCACACCCGGGCCGACAGCGAGGTCTCCCGAGGCGGCCCGTACCATAAGCAGCGACGGGAGCCGAAGTGCTTCTCGCACCACGAGCATTGGGCAGGGCTCGGAGGAGGGGTGGGGGTGGCAGGCGGCTGGGAGATTATCGTATGAAATCCGGAATACAGCGAAGCCCTACACAGCAGAACCGCGCGAGCGATGATGGCGGCCGCCAGCGAGCCGTTGCGATCTTCGTGAGGTTCAATATCGTTCAGTTTACTATCAGGCGGTTCCCTCTTCACGTCCTCCTCTTTCTTCACCAAAGGAAGAGGATCATGTTCTAGAAGTTTCCGCAGACGAGATCCTAGAGTACCATTTGACAGTTCCTCTTCTTTCTTTATCCGTTCTGTCTTGATTTCGATTCCGTTCAGTCTGGGATGAGTATTGGGAGTGTGGGCGTGGGGCGGTTCGGTGGGAGGCGGCGTGTGCCGACGACGGATACGGAAGCGACGTAATTCTGAAGTGGCTGAGCGCGGCGGGGAGTGAGGGGCGGGGCTGGGGGAGGGGGAGGGGGCGTGCTCTTTGCGGAGCAGGATCGTCGCTTCACCGGACATTAAATTTACCTTTAACAAGAAATAAACAAATTATTTAAAAAAAAATATTTTCATATTAATTTAAAATTCAAACTTGTGGTTAATTGCATATCTGATCAACTATTCTCCCATTTCATATCGTGCTGCCAATATCTTGATTAACATATCTGTAACTAACCTTAAAAGCCTTAAGAGTGGGAGCCTTCAACCGATCTGCTAGCCTCCTCAGTGGCACCTCCTCATCAGAATCCGAGGCCGATGGAGAAGACGCATCGGTGTGGTAAGCGGACCCGTCGGACGCGGGGTCATCCCGGAGTGGTGAGCGCCGCGTGGTGTGGGCCTCGGGCGCCGCCAGCGGCTCCGCGTGCCAGATCACGGGGTCCCGGGGGGAGTCGTACCGGGGGACGCGGAGTCGCAGTCGCCGTGCCACCTGGGAATAAACAAATCGAAACTGGGGGTATTGAAGAACTATGACGTCATTTGTGGTCAATAATAGTGTTACGTCGGTAAGAGTAACGCCATTTATCGTCGAATAGTCGAACGAACATCGAAGGATCTAGTAGCATCTAGAAAGCGCGAGAAGTACAACGCCATCTATTGTCGGATAGCGGAAACACAGTACTCGGCTTTTGTGGAATATTCTCAACGATTCTAGGGATTTCGTCTCAACTATAAAAGCGTTGCAGAGATGGCACGCAGCTAGTAATCGGAACTACTCGAAGGGAATTGAGAGTTTTAAAGTGTTTGTTGAGTGTTCTAAGTATTGAATACAGTTTTTAGTTGTACTTTGGTGGAATTTTATTTATTCCGAACCCCAGCGCGTAACAATAGGTTGCACCTTAATCATAATTATGTTAATAGTAGATTAAGTAGTGCAATTGTTTAATGTTTAGTGTGAGGTGGAATTATTTCCTTACATTATAGGTTAGATTAGTTTTCGTGATTGTGTGGTTTTGTTGTAGTTGTAAGGAACATTGTGTCCAAACTTAGTACTTTTGTCTTGTTTGGTCGTGCGGACATGGCTTATGTTACAAGCTAGATATTTAAGCTGTTGTTATTTATTCTGTATCTTTTAGCTTGTAATGTGTATTGTGTGCCTAATAAAAAAATAAAAAAATATTAGATATTGTGCATACTATTTTTTCTCCTACCAGGCCGAAAGTTCGACATTGCAAAAAACTTAGCACCCGTGGAGTACCGTGCCGGGGTCCAGGGGCGAGGCCCTAGCCGGGGCTGCCACTCGTAAAAAACAATTTAACTGTTTTTTAATTTTTAAACTACTACTAATTGAATAAGAACTGTCTGATGAACTCATCTTTGTTTAAAACTTCAATATTAAATTTTATTGCCTTTTGTTTATGTCACTTTTACACTTTAGTGTTTACACAATATTGCAAATTACCCGAGCACAACAATGGCGGAGAATTCAACACTAACGCGCATGCGCACTTGTACCCAGGGAGGAAAAGTTACACTTTCTTCCCTGTACAGCGGGAGGAAAACGGAACTTTCGGCGTAGGTAGGGGAAAAAAACATAACTCACCTGTCTCATAACAGTATCGCAGCGCGCGTTTATCTTCAGCTTCGCGACGGAGTCTTTGGGCGTCCATTGCAAATTGACAATGTACAGCGCCGGCCTCGACGAGGGGGCGCTGTGCATGCGCCACAGCCGACCGTAACGACGCAGGACCTGGAAACAATATTTAAAAAAATTGCAGGATTTTTGTATATCGAAAATAATAATAAACGGTGCGCGTGCAATTTGGTGCGCGTGAATGAAGTGAAACTTCTTTTTCGATGTGTATGTAGTATTGTGGTTTTCTTCATTATTCATCCTTAAATCAGATTGCTCGTTTAATAGGGAATGCTGTGTATAAGAGGTGCGACATCTTTAACATTTATATTACACATATATATATATATTTTAAATTATAGATAGAAAAATATATATATTTTTTTAAATACTTCATTAATATATCGGACGCTACTCGTTGCTAACGTTCGCTCTGTCTCTTTCTATTTCAGGGTAGCGTTAAAGGTTTAACGCAACTTTGTTGGAAGTCGCATTAGAAGTTTCACTTCAAAACTAACTTAAACCAAACGTTACGAAACTCGACATCTTCTGACACCATTAACACACCTTCAGACTAGATCCGAGACACAAGACGACATCGGCTCTAGCAGCGTGCCGCAGCGCTCCAGCCCAGTTCAAAGGCCAGGCCGCCCTGCCGCGCTCCCCGAAGTGCACTATGGAGTCCCTGAGCTCCGTGCCGCAGGCGTGGCACAGCCGCCTCGTGCCGTGCCGGTGCCGCGCCGTGCGCTCCGTCGTGTCGAACGATCGCAGGTATAGCTTGCGACACGGCGCGCACAACTCCGCGAACATATTGCCGTGAAGTTCGGCCAGCGCTCGGCGGGGCAGGCCGGCGCGCAGGTGGAGACCGTCGCAGTTCTGTGACACGACGAATTTGAGGGCTCCTCGCGCCCACAAAGCGGTTAACGCCATGTGAGTGAAGGTTGGGTTCGCTCGAGATACCTCCACGCGGCTGAAACGTTACATTGAAGAAATAATTTCAATCTGTCAATTAAATTTTGAGATATAGATGTTTTTTGTTAGTGTACGAGGAGCATCTTTACTCTGTTCCCGGGGCACCACTCATGGATTAGATATTGTATGTTGACGATATTGATAAATAGATTGATTGATAGATAATTCGAACTTATTCCAACGGCAAATTAAGCTCGTTTATAGAGGTGAGTCATCTTTTTTATTGCTTTAGTGGGTGGACAAGCTCACGGTCCAACTGGCGGCTAAAACACGGTCCTACAATCAGTAATTATGCAGTTTGTAATTTGAGGATTTGATTACATGAGGCTTTACATGATTACATGATTGATATGGAAAAGAAGAAAACGTCTGGGTTGCAAGATGAAACTCTAATTATATTTATAATTGATTGTAAGCCATATATTGCGGTTCTTTAAAAACTAATAAAAAAAATGCTAATCAACGCCATATTTATTAAGATTGTAAATTCATAATGAAATTACATTTCAATGTGACAACCAAATTAAAAAGGATAACATGGATAAACTTGGGATTTAAAACTCCAATAAAATTTTGCTGGACAGGTTTTATTCTTAAAGAAAAAAAAAATATATATATATTGTAGCTACCTGGAACTTGTTTCGCATATATTATTGTAAATGAAACCTTTTACATCAATAATTTTTAAAGAAGTTATTGAACTGCTAACAAATAAATCACACTTGGTAACAAGAACATATTCAAACCTTGTTAAATGGTGACTGAACCACTTGAAACTAGTTCACAATTTATTTCTTGTTTTACGGTAAAGGTAAGAAAAAATTAAAGCAAAGTGGTCTATCTAACACAAAACAACATGTGCAGAGGACTAAAAAGTTTGGGAACTGACATGTTTGCTTTTAGATATTTATGAATGATTTTGAAGATAATATCAATCATAAAGTTACAGCTATTTACTTTAAGATTTGTTCAGTAATCAATTATTTTTATTAAGATCTTTAATAAAACTTTAATAAAAAAAAATGTTAAATTCTCATGGCTTTCCAAATCATAATTAAACTTGTGTGAGCTAAAACCAAACTTAACTAGATTGTAATGTGTGACATCAAACTGTATTGTGTGCTAACATAATGTAAGATTTTCTTTTGCAAATATTGTTAATGTTATAGAAATAATGCTATTGCTTAGAAATGGCATTTTCTGAGAATTATAGTAAAATACTGCAATTGTCAGCCAGCATTTATTGCTCTTAAGGCCTACATTTAATATGCCTGTATGGGTTGGTACCACCACTGTACCAAGTTAGCTGTGAAGAAGTTATCTGTTATACTTCGAAGAGTGAGAAAACTCATTTGATTACAATTCATTTGAGACTTCATGTCTCATGGTTTGTAGCATTCACATTTTGATTAATTTTGTAAACTTAGAGATCAGGAACAGCATATATGTAAGTATACATAAATTTCCTTCCACAAAACGAGTTACGTCAAGTTGAGAAAACAATTCAAAATTAAGTTTCAAAAATAGATAAATTAAATAAGGATATTTACCCCACACTTTCTCCTCGTTGCAGTCGAGTCCATACTCCATGGGGGCCCCTGTAGTCAGGGATGTCAGCTGCCGTGCTAATTCCAGCTCCTGTGTAGACCTAAATATTAAAAGTTATTTTGTGTCATTAAGCAATTAAAAATCTCACCTTGCAAAACCCTACACAAAAACTTAATTTGATTTGTTTATATTCAATTTTAATAACATAAACAAAAAAAAAATTGTTAATTATTTTATTTTATTATCAAAATTAAATCATCAATAAAATAGAACGGTGGTTTATTAACTGTTTAGTATCTGTGAAAGTGCACAAATTTGGGATAATGAAACAAGAGATCGCTTCTCGGAATCTTTCAAAAAGTTCACTGAAAAAGTCTCAGTAAATAACCACCATTTTACTGAGATTATATTTCATCTCATCTCATTTCATTTCATTTAATCTAATGCCAATTGATAAATTTTTCAAATTAATCAACTTCGTTTCATGTCACTCATTATTATTTTTTTATAAAAAATTATGTAGTACGGTATGACACCTTTGCCTTTCCATTTGGAAAAATAGCATTACTACTGTCCATTAAAGAGGTTGTAATTTTAAAAGTTTATCAATATCATGTATCTATAAAAAAATTCTTCTTGCCCTAATTCCACTGTGGGGTCAGTCCATCCATATCTTTCTGAGACACCCCCCTCCCTTCCATAACTGCTTAGTTTCATACCCAGTTTCCAGTACCCACAGATATATTATCACAAAAAATATTTAATTTTAAAGTTTCATTATTTTAAGAGGTTAATATGAATTTTGGTAAATAAAATAATTTAAAGGTAATAAAATATTAATTAATTTAATATAATTTTTTTTTATAATTTTTATTCACTACAATAAAACTCAACTCAGTTAAAAGGTGGGTATTATTAATCTTACAAGATTCACTCAATTTACTATAATAAAAAAATGCAGTCATTAGATAAGTAGCATATTAACATTGCTTATGTCAATATTTACAGCAAATATTATTTGAACAAAGCCAATTTGTTAAAATCGAAATGTGAAAATGTTGTTTAAATTTTTGTATAATTAAATACCAGTCATGATACACAAGATAACGGTTCTTTATAATAACCAAAATATAATTCAAAAACAAAACTTGTTTTATGTGTCACTAAATACACATGCTGAATTTCAACAATTATAATAATTTAAACCACTCTTAGATGTTTGATTATTTTGTAAGTGTAACTTAGTTGAAGATATACAACTTACAACAAGATGCTTAGCGTTGCGCAGCGCCCTGGCCAGTCTTCGGCATTTTTCTTTCAAGACCCGCGGGCTATCTTCAACTTCGCGTGCTCGCTCTGCTGCTCTAGCCCTTCTGGCAGCTGCGGCTGCAGCAGCTGCCACAGGCCTCACTTTGGTTCCAGGAACATTAGAAGTTGACGGAGCCTGGGTGGTTTCAGCACTAAGCCTAGCGCTCGACCGCACTGCGCCTCGCCCGCCCATGGCTTTCATTAGCGCCGTAATTTAAACGCCCATGCTTCCTTAGATACTCCTATCCTTATTACCCACATGGCGGGTAGTGATAAAGGTTTCAGTTTTAAATGTTTTTATTTTAAAATATAGAGTCACCCAGTCAACACTGCACGCCTTTTACAAAATATTTATGTCAGCCATTGACGCTGTCAGTCTGTCATTCACCTCTAGGGATTGGACAATTTAAATTATTGCTTAATTCAAAGAGATGACCTACTACCTATCGATATAGTTTATACGTTATCCCTGTTTTCCGATTACAGCACAAGAGCGTATTATGCGGCATAATGCTCAACTAAGCTTCAGCATAATTCGGCATTGTGCGTCACTGAGTCGCATTATGCTCTGTAATTGGAAAACTACCTATATCATTTTGTAATTTGTCAATTTTTTTATCGAAGATTAATTATTAAAAAATGTGATATTTAAAATTTTATTTGTAATGAACTTTAATGAACAATAACAATAAAGTAACTTAAAATATTTACAGCCAGTAAATCTTAAATTGTCTTATTATTTTGTCTGACTATATTACATTACATGCATTATCTATGATATTACTCAGAAGAACAAGTGTGGCGGACGACATCTTCGGTTTTCTGGTATTATTTACTTCTCGACTTTTTATTACCCAAATCCCGTATCTCATCAAGTTCTATCCTTTTTAAGTATTTCTTCGTTTGTCATCCTATAATCATCATGGGATTTCTGGTAGTCTACGGATCATCCACGGGATCTACAATGACTGTTCTAAAAGTGTAAAAAAAGTTAATTGACTCTCGACCAACTCCATGGCGGGGATTGGATAAGTAAAATTTTACGAGTTACCTTTTTGGTTAATAGCTAATATTGTTTTTTTTTCAAGTTTACTCATTTAATATTGGTAGCTTAATAAATTTATAAACATCTCTTATAGAATTTCCGTCAAACTGAAGAGATATGATAAAAAGTGTAAAACGGTAGTTTTTTAACTGTTTTGCATTTGTGACAATGCACAGCTATAAAGTTAAAAAATGAAACAAAACAGCTGGACATTGCTTTTCGGATTTTTGAAAAAAGTTCACAAGAGTCTCTTTAAATAACAACCATTTTACTGAGACTTTAATTCACCCCATTTCATCTCGTTTCATTGAATTTCATCCCAATTGATTATAGCCTCACATAAATCAACTTCACCTCATCTCATCCGTATCATTTTTGGCTGCATATTATTTTTCATATGACAGAGCATCTAAAAGATTGGCTGCATGGTGTGACTTTTGCCTTTCCTGTTGGAAAATGAAACTACCAGTCTGCTACTGACAGCTAATAGTGTTGACATTGACAGATACTTTTGTGTTTCTTTTGGACCCTTTGACAGGTAAGATTAGACGAAAATTCTTGAAATCAGTAAATTAATCCTATTTAATCGTGTGATTTTCATTCTGTTATAAAATATATTTTCACCCTTAAATGAAAAGTGCCGTGGTTAAAGTGATTTGTGATAATTTTTTTCGTTAAAAGTGTATATTTCTCTTACAGTGCTGGTTGAAAACTATTCGTCTTCAACATGGTAAGAAATTTAAATATTGAACCAATTTAGAGAGTAAAGCATTACATAAAGTCTCAAATAACCATTATTTTAGTTATATTAACGGTCATTTTTGCTTATAGTCGCAGGAGTGGCCAATAAACAATGTTCTTATGTTGTAAACATAGACACTGTATAGTTTATTTTCTAACCTGTGTTATTATTTCAGCCGCGTGAAATCAAAGATATCAAAGACTTTTTAATTAAGGCGAGGAGGAAAGACGCCAAATGTGAGTATTTATAATTCTAACCTAACCTATTCTAAGGGTCTAATTAAAAAAAAATACATTCACCATTAGGAAGGTGATAAAGAAATAGAAGAGTAAAATGATATTATAAGAAAAACAATGAAGACCTTATTAAAACTAAAAAAATAGCAATTTTAATAATTTAAAAACAACATTTATTTGGGATAGATTGGCAGGTCAGTTCTCATGATATAACCTTGACATTCAGTATTTATTAAGCAGCTTTTTTCAAAGACATAAATCATCAAAGTATAGAAAATTTGATTAAACAATCTAATGTATTACTGGATAATTAAAATGCACAAAAATTGGCATGCATGCATAAGACGCTATTTTTATTTTTATACATTTTTCCCTCCTATGCTAATAGCCTTGATAGGCTATTTCAACATCTCCTTGACATATAGGTGAGCTCACTGGGCTCAAACTGGGAGTGTTGCTAACATTGGCCCTAGCAAGAGCAGTGGTTCGTAGAATCTACCACTGGATCGGAAACGCTACCCACTGAGAAAATCCAGCGAGAAACTCAGTGGGCTGTGTCTATGGGTTAATTAACTCGTTGAGCCCTTTGTCGCAAACAACGGGTTCGGTGAGAATGGTGATTGGAGCTTGAGGTACCTAAAAACACAGTTAATGGATCGGGAGGATCCCTAATGACGTGTTATTATTTATGAAATGCTCTATTAATATCAAGTAAATAATCATTACTGTTTCAGCGGTCAAAATAAAGAAGAACCCTGAGAATGTCAAGTTCAAGGTTCGATGCTCAAGGTTCCTGTACACCCTGGTCATCACTGACAAAGAGAAGGCTGAGAAACTTAAGCAGAGTTTACCTCCAGGTTCATAATCTTGTTTTTGTTACTTCTATCTTCTCACATTGGTTTGTGTATAGCTGTGTTGCGGCCTAGTCTGCAGCAGTCTCTTATAACACTTTAAAGGTCTACTAATTACATAGGTGAATAAGCTCATAGTTCATTGATATTCAGTGATTACCAGAGTCCATATACATCACAAAATGAACTTTTAAACTAACCGTCTCTTTCGTTGCATTAAATGTAGATGTAATCCAATAAACCCTGAAAGACAATAACTGGTTTGATCAAAGTTTTAAATTACACAATTAGCAATCACACACTAAAAGAAGATGCTAATATTAGATAAAAACATTAAGAAACGTTCCTAAAGGTACATATAGCAAGGAGTTTTAGGTTATATGAAGCTAGACTGAATAGATGTCTCCTGTTCTGGTAAATCTGCAAAGGCCTCCGAGCCACCAGTAATCCTTCAATCATAAAAAAAAGAATAGATGTACAAGTGCGCTTGATAAAACTGTACACAATTAAAATTAATTGTCATGGGTGTTTCAAAGAATTTAATCTTGATATACTAAAGAGAAAAAAGTAGAAAAGTTGTTCATTCAATAATTTATCAAACTGGCTTTGGTTACAACTCAAATACTCATATACAAATATCTCCAACCCTTTTTTATGATTGAAGTATTACTGGTGGCCCAGAGGCCTCTCCAGTTTCATCAGGACAGGTGGGCGAACAAAGGCTCGGACAGAGTCTCCAACCTATGAAATACAAATACTGAGATGAGTTGGATTTTAATCACAATTTGATTAACTATTAATAAAAAAATGTGGCAGAATGTGGCTTTCACATAAATTATTTCAAATTTAAAATATATTTAATGCATATTATATTGTAAAGGCTCTGCAATAAGCATCAATAATATTTTAATTGTAACAACCAATGATGAAACAAGCAAAAATGAAATAATAGTTAATATAAGACTCAAGAAGACTAAGCTTTTTGAGTTAGTTTAGTGTTTTTTCATATTCAAAATAGGGTATGGGTGACGTAACTAAAGAACACATATATAAAGTGTTTAGCCTTAATAGAAACCAGGTGAGGTAGGTCAGTGGACTTTATTCTTAGAGACATTACTTAAAATAGTTGTTTATGTTAAATTAAAATTAATTATTAGCCTTATTGAGCTAGATTGTAGATTGTATTGTACTAGATTTTGGTAAATTACATAAATACAAAATAAAAAACAATACAAACAAAATTCTCACAATTTTTTGTAAAGTTAAGACTTAATTTCAAATTGTAACTAATGAATTTGTACAATTGTTTCAGGTCTCCAAGTTAAAGAAGTAAAGTGATGTAACTAGGTTAAAGAAATAAAAAAAATACAAAATTATATTGTTTTTTCATTATAAATACTCTATTACATACTACTGGTATTTGCGTAGGTAGACTGTCAATTGGATATTAAGTGAAAATCTGGCCCACAGACACAACAACTTCAAAGGACGAAAGTACGTAAGGACGACATCCATGCTTCTTTAATTTTAAAAGGAAATTACAGTATCAGATCATTGTCTTTAAATACCATTTGAAAATTTAAAACAATATGATGAGAAAATAAGAAAAATGTATTATTGAAATTTGTAACAAATTACAAATGAAACACCGTTTTGAAAATATGCGATGTGTCTTACAATTACTGTTTTCGAAGTTTGGCTACGTTTCAGCATATGAAGTCTGAGAAATTATGCATTTCGCATTTCCCTCTTTTACATAGGTGCGAATTAGGATTGCCGGTCTGACAAAAATAAAAACTGATCTATTTCAGTCGAAGTATTCATTTTTTCATTGCCTAATCGAATTCACTGCCCTTCTGGTGTTAAGTGGTTACTGGAACCCATGGAACCCATTGACATTAAAATGTGTATACCGCGACTCACCTTGAGACATGAAGTTAATGTCTCAAATGTATAGATTTTTTTTAATATAAATAAAACGAGTATACCGCTCACCTGATGGTGATTGGTTACCGTATCCAGCCTTCGACACTCGTATTTTTTATTTTTGTTTATGGCTTAGATTGGTGGACGAGCTCACAGCCCACCTGAGGTTAAGTGGTTACTGGAGCCCATAGACATCTACAACGTAAATGCGCCACCCACCTTGAGATATAAGCTCTAAGGTCTCAGGTATAGTTACAACGGCTGCCATACCCTTCAAACGGAAACGTATTATTACTGCTTCACGGCAGAAATAGGCAGGGTAGTGGTAGCTACCTGCGCGGACTCACAAGAGGTCCTACCACCATTATAATTTTGCGGGTTTGATTTTTATTACACGATGTTATTCCTTCACCGTGGAAGTCAATCGTGAACATTTGTTGAATACGTATTTCGTTAGAAAAATTGGTACCCGCCTGGGATTCGAACCGGTGCATCGCTCACCACGAATGCACCGGACGTCTTATCCTTTAGGCCACGACAACCTCGACTTTGCGTCATCGCTGGATATTTAGTTTTAATAATAATAATAGTGGGTAGGTATGAAATCTGAACTTTAATAAACCTAATGGTAATTGTAATCACTTTGACATTATCGAACGGTATACTGCAAATAGGTCTATTAAACACAGGTCTAAACTTTGGCTACCGGGCACTTGACAACGTGATTATTATTTTCTCGTAAATTGTGCGCAAGACTTATTCGCTGTGTGAAGAATTTTATTTACTATTCGTAATAGTTGTAGTAACAGTTGCTTTTGAATGTATCAAATATCTGATCTCAGTAAGGTATTAAAAAAAATCACAAATGAAAGTGCAACAAAACTGCACCAAAGATAAAATTAGTTTTAAGATGAAGCTCTACCTTTTATGTACCTAATAAGATTCCGTTAATTTAAGCTTCCTGATTCCGTAACAGTCGCGTGCGATCTTGCGTGTACTCCTATTTATGGTCCAACATAATAATTTTATACCATCTATACTTGACCGAAAGAAAGGAAGTCCTGGCTTGTTCTTATAATTGTCATTTAATCCACGCTATCTGGTAACTGAAATCTGAAATGTATATACCCCAACATCTATAACGCTAACAAAACAGGCATGAGTTAAGAATGTTACTTATTGATTGATTTGTTTTTAATTAGTCTACTTGAAGATTGGTTTCCGGAGGTTTTCGATGGGTTACCTTTGTATTGACTTGAAGGATGGTCACCACGGAACAACGTAAATGTCGCCATCCAACTTATAACATGATGTCGAATTTCTAATTGTATAGTATTATATAACGGCTGTGACATATTTAAAGTGGGAATGCATGATTCCCATATCATACCAGATATAGTCAAGACTAGCGACCCGCCCTCGCTTCGATTCGGAAACATTAAATTTTATTATTGATAGCCGGGTCCCGCGATGCTACCCGCGGGTGACGCCGCGGAGCGAAGCTTGTCTAAAAAAGTAGCCTAAGTTACTCCTTATATCATCAGCCACCTATCAGTGAAAGTTTCGTCAAAATCGGTCCAGCCGTTTCAAAGATTAGCCGGAACAAACAGACAGACCGGGATAAAAATTATAAAAAATGTTATTTTGGTGTATGTACCGTATATATATTAATAATATGTATGTAGTAAAAAGCGGTTACTTCAATATTACAAACAGACACTCCAATTTTATTTAAATATAAATATAAATATTTTACTAACAATCACGCCACGTTAACTGGTCCCGTGATAAGTTCGTAAAGAACTTGTGTTACAGGTACCAGATAACGGATATAAATGTAAGATTTTTATTGTACACATACATAAATTTAATATACATCCATAACCCTGGAAAAGACATTTATATTTATCATACAAATATCTTCCCTTGGCGGGATTCGAACCCGCGACCCTCTAGTGTAGTGACCATGTCACTTACCACTACACCAGACGGACGTATTTACATGTATAGATGATATAGACCAAGCTTGTTTGAGCGGAAACTAAAGCCAAAAGGGACTACAAGATGAACACCGTTGCCCAGAGTTAATTACACCTTTAACTCATATCGGCAATCCTGTAGGTACGTTAAAAAATCATCCATCGCCAGGAATAGGCTAAGCGAAGAGCTTTTGTTTTTATCTGTATGAACCCTACGAAAACATCATGAATTGTCATGGCTTAAATGATAAATAAGACTGTCGGTATACTCGTAAGACTATGCCGTTGTTCAAACCCTGCAAAACAGGTACCAATTTTCCTAATGAACTATATACTTAAGACATTATCAATGATTTCAACCGTGATTTCAACCATCGTCCACCTGTCCTGGTGAAACTGGAAAGGCCACTGAGCCACCAGTAATTCCTCATTCATAAAAAAATGATTTCAACAATGAAGGAATAACGTCATGTAATAAAATTAAAACCTGTAAAAAAAAGAAAATTTATGTAAATACATGGGTGCGGTATTCACATCCTTGATGTCTATAGGCTGCGGTAACCGATTAATACCAGACAGGCGGTGAGTTTCTTCACTCGTCTAAGCATTATTTGTGTATAAAATAGTAAGATGAGTTTACGCGGTAAAAATATAGTCGTCGCCTTATACAATCTGCTTTTAACGCGTACCTATATCTTTCTGAACTGGAACAGGCGCGTCTCTGCAAGCCACTGTAAACATAAACAGCACGAGTAATCAGCACCTCGCCGAAAATTCGCACTCTTTATGGAAATTTTATATTCAATTTAGCTTGCGGTGAGCTTTGGAGTAAACCAGTAAGGTTCTTGCTACAGTACAATGCGTGCGAGTCTTGCGAGTCAGCGAGCTTTGAGCGATTGTTTCTTGTTAGCTACTCCTGCAATGTGTTACAATGACAGGCTGTATTGAAATATTTAAAATACAAAAAAGCATTGACCGGATTAAAAGTGCTATGCTAAAATAAAATAAATATAAAAAACAAATTTTAATATTTTTATAGTAACAAATACTCAAGGTTTTATCGTTCAAAATTTAAAATTGGCTTACAAGCCACAAACTCGCAATTGAGATAGAAGGTCTATTTAGCGAACTCCAAAAAGCAAAGAACAAGAGTTACTAGACCGTCGGTCCGTATGTTGCAATCATTTTACTTAGGGAGTACAGTGTGCTTAGTGCGAGTTTTTAAAAGTTCTCGATAGCGCAAAAATTAATTCAAATTTGTATGCAGTTGGAATAGCGCTCCTAGCGGCCAACGTAGGCAAACTTTGATTTGAATGAACTTTTACGTTATCGAGAACGTTAAAAAACTCGCACTAAGCACACTGGCCTCATATATAAAAATATAGGTGTATTTAATAAGTCGCTAGGTTAAAATTCACCGCAACAACAAAGATAGGTCCGCATACGTCACTCATGAATGAATTAAAAGTAGCGTGCTCAAGTGAGAGCCATAGACTAACGAGCGAACTTCTGTCGACTTTATGGAACTGTGGGATCTCATAGACTCATAGGTTGCGTGATGATTGCTAACTTGGATATCGCTCTTTTAGAATTATAGATTCACCGCGTCTGTTTAGTTAAAGAGAGGCGCAAACAGTAGTATGCCGTTTGTGTTTTCACTAAGTCGTTGCGTGTTTATTGTTGTAGCGACTTGCTAAGTAAGCTGTGGCTTAATTGACATTGACTATATTCTTTGACTATATACAATTTAGTTGAAAACATAACAATTATTAGGACTATCTTTTAAAAAATCCATGGATTTAGTCAAATATAGACCCGATTTGCGACTACTTTTAAATAAATTATAAAAAATATATATTGTTTTATTTTTATTTTTGCTCACTTTTTTAGTAAAGATCATGTACATAAATAATAATAATAAAAATGAATTAAAATACTATAATATATTTTTTAAATTATTTTCTATAATCTCACTTTTTTATTATTAACATAATACAATTACATTACATAATACAATACATAAAACACTTTTTTTTCCTGTCGATATAAGTATTCGGTCGCATTTGGATTATGGCTGTCGCATCTCGGAATACCTTTGTGTAGTGTAGCATCGGGCTTGGCGTCGCGGCTCGTGCCTCGTCGTCTGAGCATTACTTTGTGAAGTCTTGTCGTTATCATAATTATGTTGAACTCGCGATATTTCAGAATTGAGTTCTGCCTCCCGACTTTATTACGTTATCAACTCACAAGCGTTAACATGATTTCGTATTGAAATTTAAAAGGAAGATGTCAAAAATTTGGTCTCTAAATTCGGTCTTTGGAATTTTATTTTTCCTTTTTTTTACTTGTACTTGCAAACGAAGTGATGAAATTTATATTTTTCATATCGTTACTAGGATGATTTGAAACCGTAACGGAACAAACTTGTTTCAAATCTTCAAATCCCACAGTTTTTTTAGGAGGCATAGTAT